AAAAAACTGGGAGGCTATAAAGGCACAAAGTGGCTGGCTTACAAGCTTTCATGAGGGTGCTTAGTGTCAGAACAAAAAGAGTAAGATAAAACCCCCATTGAATAGTTTTCCTTTTGTCCAGATGGGTCTAGTGATGAGGGGAATAGGATTCTATGATTCCATTGTGAGTAACTGTTATCGGGACTAATGGCGATTGTCACAACTATAAATGCAGAAGAGGTGTAACTAAAAGGAGGGAGCAGTTAATCTGTTATCTCAGGATCAGAGGGCCCTAGGACCATCAAGAGGGAAGAGCATGAGAGGAGCAAGGGATCCTAATCAGAAAAGTGGTGACAAGAGAGATGGTGGCAGAGGCGATGGCATAGAGAGAGCAGCAGAAAACGATAGGCCCATGGACTGAGAAAGGCAGTGTGCCTGCTCGCAAAATGTGCCTTTTGGACATTTAAACGAATATGTTTTCTCAGTGTGGTATGTATACATAAAAAAAAAAAAAAGGTAATAGAGGTAAATACTGTTAGTTGATGCTGCATGGAGGGGATTGTAATCATTGCAATGATTTGCTGAATGGAAAACTGATAAATCTTCCCTGTAAACCTTCATACATTCAATTCACAGTAAAAGCTTTAAAAAAAAAAGTCTGATATATCTAGAAATCTACTGACTTCCTGGCCATTTGGAAGTTCTGTATCCACACTATACCCTTTTTGCTTCTGTAGTTTACTTCATTACAAATTGATGTCTCTGTCTAGTTCCCTATTTTTAGTCTTGTAGATTTGCTTTACTTCAACTACTTCTATATATCAGGAGTACTGGGGTGGTGCTGGGGGTTCATGCGCCAGACTGCAAAGCAGCTTGAACTGCAAGGTCGGTGGTTACAAAGCTCACCAGCGGCCCCTCGGAAACCTTATACAGGGATGCTATGGGTTGGAATTGACTTGATGGCACTTAACAACTTCTATATCTGGATTGAGTTCTGGGTGGTGTTCTCATGCATGTTAATCTCAGGGCTGTTGTTGGTTCTCAGTCCAAAGAACATCCTTTAGTATGTTTTTGTAAAGTTCATCTAATTATTACAAATTTCTTTCATTTTTGTTTATCTGGAAATGTCCTAATTTCACCACTGTATTAGAAGGATAGTTATTGTGGGCAGATGATTCTTGGTTGGCAATTTTTTTTCTTTCAGTTTTGTATACATCATCCCAATGCTTTTTTGTCTGCATGATTTCTGCTGAGAAATCAGAACTTGGTCTTACTGGTTCTCCTTTGTAGGTAACTTTTAGTTTTTTCCAAGCTGCTCCCAGAATTCTTCCCTTGTCTTTGGTTTTGGAAAGTTTGATTATGGTATGTCTTGGTGATATTTGAGATCTATCTTGTTTGGGTTTGTTCAAGTTCTTACATGTTTATCTTCTCATCTTTCATGATGTTAGGCAAGTTTTCTTCCAACAATTATCTGAAAATGTCCTACGCTTTTTATTGTCTCTTCCTGTTCTAGAATTCTGATCACCTGTAAGTTATTCCTCTTCATGGTGTTCCACATAACTCTGAGGCTTTCTGTGGAGGTTTTCATTCCTTTTTCTGGTTGTTCTTCTAATATTCAATTATTGACAGATTTTTCTTCAAGTTCACTAATTCGGGCCTTCATTGATTCGAATCTCCTCCTTTGCCCTGTCAATGTATTGTCCATTTCTGAAATCTTAATACTAATAGTCTGTGCATTTCTAATTGCAGGTTTTGTACTATTCTAAAGTCTGCATTTACTTTGTATGTTCTTTTTTAAATTTCCATTTTCTTTTTTTTTTTTTCTAACCCTTTATGTTGTAAAAGCATATGAAGCTGCAGAGGGTCCAGCTGTGGCTGCACTCACTGTATGGACACGGTTGCTGCTTCCTGTTAGATGGGAAAGAGAACACCCTCCATACATACAAACAAATACAAGGAAAAGAAAAAGAATAAAAAACAAGTAAGCAACAATGAAAAGAGAAAATAATAAAGGAGAAAAAATAAAAACAGGCAGCAACTAGGAAAAATTAATTACTAAAAAGAGAAGAGAGAGATAGGAAAATGAGCTTTAGAAAAGAAAATATAGAAAATAAAAGGAATAAATAAAAAGAAACACAAGAGAAAGAAGAGTAGTAAAGGGGGAAAAAACCAAGAGGGGAAATGAGAAACAGAAGGAAAAGCAAAAGTGAAGGAAGAAAGGATAAAATTAAAGGGAATGGAAAGAGAAGATGGAGAAGAAAGAATAAAGAAAGAAAAATAATGCAATTAACGAAAGGGAAAAAAAAAAACCTCCAAACAAAAATACCAGTGTAGCTGTTAGACATGGAAAGGATAAAACTCTTGAGTGGTGGGGCTCCTGCCAGATTGGGAGCTCATGAGGTAGACGTGGGAGGAATGTGACAGTGTAACTCTGGCCCTAGATGGAGTTCCCATATGCCCAGGTATTATTTATGTTCAGGACACTCAATCTGGAATTAGTTCGTGGAGGCTCTCGATGGAGCTGGTTTCAGTGTTTATTAGGACCACAAGGTAACTGGGGATAGGGTGGTTGGTTATGAGTGTTTCTAGGAGTCTAATGCTGGTCTAGTGGCTCTGTGAGTTCTGTAGGTCTGGAACTGAATCCAGGCACCAAAGCTGGCCTCACACTGGTATAGCTCACAACCATATGGCTCCAAACACCCTGAGAGCAGGGTCTGCATGGGCGGTGGACAAGGTAGGTGCTGGCCACATCACTGGTCGCCAAGGAAGTGTGGGAAAAAAGAAGGAATTGAAACTTTGCCACCTGTGTCAATCTGTTGCCAGGCTACCTTCTGTGGCCAAAGCTGCTCACAAAAGTTCAGTAGGTTAATGCTGCATTGGGCTGGACTTTCACCAGGCAGTCTCCTTCTCTCATCATCCCTGCTCAGCTTCTCCTCCCAGCAAGCACTCAGTCCACTTTTCTAACCTCTCCTCTAAAGGTCAGGGTTCCAGGATTTTCATCTGCATCTGTCTCATTTGATCTCTCATGTCTTTGTACACGGTCTGCCATCTTGCCGGAGTCCTCACCATCCTTCTTTATGGCTTAGTTTACAGGTCACTTTCTCAGGGAACCCTACTCTTCCTGTGTGGACCTCAACCTTTCCACAGTAAAATGCAAATTTTAGAGTCAGACTATACTGATGGGAAGCAGAAACATGAGCATATCTATTATCAGCACCCCTGAGGCCTAGCTTCCTTTCCAGGGTGGGGAAGGGACATTGTTGGCAGCCTAACCAGCACCCACTTCCCTGTTCTTATACTATCTTTGTCAGGTTCCACCCTCTCTCCCCAGTGCCTTGGGCTTAGTGGGCCAGCAGACTCCACCCTGACTAGTTAAATCCTTCAGAATCATCCTTTACCACAGTGGCTGTTTTAGGAATGGGCATGTGAGACCTAGTTTGGGCCACTAAGGCACAAGGAGGTCTGAGAACGAGGATTCTTGCTCTCTGGGAGGCCCATGGGAAGCGAGCTGGCTCCTGCTGTCTCTTGATGGACATGAATGAGAAGTATTTGGCCTTAATTGCTACTGGCTGCCATCGCACAGATGGAAGGGATCCCCCCGCCTTAGGTGGATGCTGACACCTGTAGAAGGTAGTGTGAAAGTTTCTAAAAAACATGGACTAAAAAACTGGCCCACCCTGGAGGCCACCTTGCCATAGCATGGCCAAGTCCCTGAGCCAACACTTTTCCTTACTGTTAGTTTACTCTGAGGTAGAGATATTCTGGTACTGTAGTCAAAAGGATCTTTGGAAAAAGATGCCAATAAAGGTCTCTCTGAATGAATGACGTGGGTGAGTGGCCACAGGCCGAGAGCAACCAGGTGTGCCACCCACACTAGTTCTTTTCTACCCACAATACCCCACAACAACAGACACTCAAAGACGCTGGGTACTTTTTAAAAAACCACAGCAGTCATTTTAACCTTAAGTTTGCACTTTACAAACCACAAAGGAGAAGTCCATGAAGGGCAGGGGGGTGGTGTCAGCAGAGTGGGGGTGGGGAATGAAGAAGACCCAGAAAATAAGGCCCCTCACCCTGGGGACCAAGCACAAATGGGGACCCAGCCCGGCTCAGCTGGGCCTACTGTGTCTTGGCTGTTCCAGAGCCAGGTCAAAAGACCTCAGGGAAGGGCCACAGTTTAGTTTCAAGAAACTGTCCTCATTTGACAGGACAACCACAGCCGTGACTTTTGGCAGCCAAAGGACGGAAGTGGGCCTCTCCCCTCATCCTTGTTAAGCTGGGCAGCAGACAGCCTGAGGTTGCAAAAAGGCTACCCGTCCAGCAACTTCAGAATGCTCTCACGTTCCTTCAGAGTCTTCCAGGCCTGGTCCTTCTCCTTCTTGGTGGGAGTCCGCTTCTTTTGCCGGGCAGCCATAATCTTCCGGAAGGCGTCCATGACTTCATTGTCTGCCATGCGGACCCGCTGTCTCAGCTCCTGACGGCTCACCTCCTCTTTGGCTAGCCTGTGGAGCCCAGCAGACCAGATGCCAAGGTCAGCCCACCTAGTTCAAACTGAGCCCACCCATTACGCTGGGCTGGCACTCCTGGGGACCGTTTCATACAATCATTACCAAGAAAGAAAAGTCACTGAATCACACTTAACTCTATGGCACTTTCTATGAGCTAGGCACTCACTGTTTTACATTTTAAGGACAGTAACTCAGTTTAATCCTCTAGCAACCCTGTGAGGTAGATACTATTATTCCTGTTACCAATAAGGAAACTGACGCTCAAGGAGGGTAAATAATGCCTTAAGATCCTACAGTTAGTCCGCAGATCTGAACCAAGATTTAATTGTTCTGTTCAAGAATATTCTTTTAAAATGTATTTCAGTGTCAGCAGAAGACCTGCTGGGTACCCTAAGGGTACATATAGGTAGCTCTGAGGTCTACATGAAGTGGGTGAGAATGCCAAAATGCTCCCTTCTAAACAAGCACCAAACTGCTAACTGCAATGTTGGCGGTTCAAACCCACCAGGTGCTCTCAGAAAATCTACAGTTACTATGAATCAGAACTGAATCGGTGGCAAACAACAACAAATACAATCTGGCCAGGAAATTCTGTCAATGATGGAGTTAGGAGGTTATTTACATTCCCAAAGGATAGCTGCTGCTTGGGGCAGGCGGGACCTTGCTTAGGACCCTGTAGCTGCTCTGCAGCAGGGCCGACAGATGCACCTGTGTTTTTGATAAAAAAAAACAGCTGCTGCTGAGTCGATTCCAACTCACAGCAACCCAAAGTATGTCAGACTCAAACTGCACTCCATAGGGTTCTCAACGGCTGATTTTTCAGAAGCAGCTTGCCTCGTCTTCCGTCCAAGGTACCTCTGGGTAGACTTGAACCTTCAACCTTTCATTTATCCAGGAGTGCATTATTAACCATCTGTATCTCCCAGAGACTGCTGGGTGATAGCCCTGTGCTTTTCTCCACTGCTCATCCCTTCTTTCTCTGCACTCCCTGCTTTTCTTTCTCTCTCTGTGCCTCTTTCATCTATTATTTTCCTCTTCTTGCCCTTGAGAGGGATTCTGAACTAGAAAAGGTTTTGGATTCAGCCTTGGGCTCAAGTCTCAGCTTGGCTGCTTATTGTCAGCATGACCTTCAGCTGAGCACTGCACTTCTTTGGGCCTTTATTTCCTCATTTTGTAAAAAGGCAAATACCACTTACCCTGTACTGTGAAGAATAAATGTGAAGCCCCTGGTATCCTTAAATACCTTAGAAGCTTCTCAGCAACTCTGTCTCCCTTTTAGGGTGAATGTCTTTCTTAACCATCCACTTGTACACAGCAAGTCCTACGCTCTAACTCTGCTTGGCTTCCAGCACACCTAAGAGACACTGGATTTGGCCCAATGCATGGCAGAGTCTTACCCTGTCGTGGGGCTCCAGGAGGTTAACACATAGAACCTGTAAGCAGCAAGAAGACTTGGTTGGGACGCTTCTCCATCTCCCTAATAAAATGGAGCTCTCCCAGGGTCTCTCCAAATGTTACCCACACCCATCATGACCAATGTTGTGCCAGATGCCGGACGGAGATGATGATGGCACTGTCAAGTCCTAAAGAACTGGTCGTACAACACCGGTCAATTTATGGTGCTGGGCCAATAAAATCAGAGCTGTCCAACTCCTATGAGTAACTGATGTATCTAGGTGGAGGGTAGAATGTAGTTACTGTACTCTTCTTTCACACTTTCCAGGTGCTTTAAAGCTTTCATAGTAAGACACGGGTGGGCAAATAAAATAAGCACAGAATAGGGCTGAAAATAGAACTCATGGATGCCAGAGCCCCACTTCGAGGTATCAGAATCAGTCAGGCTTAGAACTGGTGCGGTGGTGCCTTGTTGTTAAGTTTTGCTAAGTCGATTCCAACTTGTAGAACCCTGTATATGGTTTCCAAGGAGCAGCTGGTGAGCTGCTTTGCAGTCCAGTGCATTAACCCACAGCACCCCATCAGCCTCAATATATTTTTGATGGGTCTGTAATTCAAACTGGACTGCAAGGTCTGTTTGAACTGTAAGGTCAGCAGTTCAAACTCACCAGCAGCTCCTTGGAAACTTTATGTAAGGTCGCTATGAGTCAGAATTGATTGGAAGGCACTTAAGAAACTAAAAAAAAAAAACTAGCTTATCAGGAGGCTCAGTCAACTTTGAGAAGCCTGTCACTGAAGCCCACTGCAGATGACCTCAGCCACCCTAGGAGCATGCATCCACAGTCAGACCCACCTCAGCAAGTCATGTTTCTTGGTGCGGTTGTGGGCACTGAGCGCCTTCAGCTCCGCCTGACGTTTGCGCAGCTCAGCAAGGACCTCATCCTCAGAGTCCTCTGCAGGACGGTCCTCCGATTCCAGGAGGCCCTGGGCAATCAGCTCCTCCTTAATGCGGCTCTCCAGGGACTTAGTATGTGGTACACTGCAAGGGGAGGCAGCCCTCTCAGCCCAAGGATCAGCTCCGAGGGGCCCACCTCAGAGGGGCTCAGGGCTTCCCGAGGTGAGTGAACACCCTCCTGTCTCTGTGGGCCCCCTCCCTCCATCTAGATACAAATATAGGGAGAGACAGACAATCTGGTCTGGTTTTTAAGCACAAAGAACATATATCCATTGTCAAAAAATCAGAACTGTAGAAAAACTTGTAATACCATAACCCAGAAAAAACCAATTATGTTATTAAATGTTACTTTGTATCTATCCCTCTCAGATTTTCTTATAAAATCTCAATTTTTCATTGTATATTAGCATTTTTAGTTACATGTACATATTTAAATATAGTCTAAGTAAAAACAGAATCATACTGTCTGTACTGTATTACAATTGATATTTTCTTCACTCCGTATTCTTAAACTTTTCATGTCAGTTAAGTGCATTTCTCTAATATGATTAACAGCTGCAAGCTATTTCCTCATATGGAGTTACTATAGCTTGGCCAAGCAAACCCCTTCAGCTGAACACTTAAGGTATTTCCAGTGTAAGTACCACTGTGATGAACAACCCTGGGCCAAGTCTGGGTATGTGGGAAAGGTAGGCCAGTAACTCATATCTCACACTTTTACTGAATTTACCAAACTGTGCCCAGCTGCCAGTGGAGACCTCCTCACACTGAGACGGAACACGAGGTGACATAAGCAGGGGCAGGACCGTGGGGTACGGAGAGGACAGCACTCACCTGAAGGGCTTGTTCTGACTTCGGGGAGAAGTGCTAGCCCCGTCAGCTCCCGATTCTTTCCCAGACATGTCAGGAATAGGAGAGTCCTCTATAGGAGAAATAATATTTTCCTGGAAGACCGTCAAAGAGAGGGATGGGAGGAGAGTTGTAGCCATTTCCATTCCCCTGCTCATCTTTGACCCACATCGACAATCTTCACAGATCTGAAATAGCTGTTTCCCTTTCCTCTCCCACCTCCTCCAGGAAGTCTTCCCAAATTGACCTCAAGCAATTCTGATCATTCTAAAACTTTTTTGGTGCACTTTATTTTTGCTTTTACATAGAAAGAAGGGCATGCAGAAGAGCAAGGATAACAACCAATTAATAACAAAGGAATAGCTAAGGTTAAGCGTTTGCAGAACAAACACTGAGCTAAGCCATGTTGTCACAGAGGGTGCTCAATGTCCAAACACCATTCTCTCCTTTCTTCCAATAGTAGCTGGACTTGTGGCTGCCCAGCTACATTACATGTTCCAGGCTCCCTTGCCTTCAGTCAGGGTGGTCATGGGATCAATTCTCTCCAGTGGAATGTGATCAATAGAGATAAGAGCCACAGCCAGTCACCACCCCTGAAACTCCCCTCACATGACTCAAGCTCTTTTTCTGTGGATGTGGAGTGGCCACCAAGCTCAGGGTGACCTTGGAAGTTGCATGTATAACATGGAAAAGCTTTCATCAGCTGAGATCCCTGTCTGATGGAGTGGAGCAGGGTCCTGCTCCCACATGTGCCCTGTATTGTTACACAAGAGAAAAAAACAGACATCTTTGTATTTGAGACAGAGGAGGAGACTGAGGCTCAACTAAGGTCATCAGCCAGTGGGCCTAAAGAAAGGTGCACTAAATCTGGCGTTTGAATCCTGCCTCTGTTAGCTGATCGTAAGCAAAAAGTTCCTTTTCTTGTGCCTCAATCTTCTCATATATGAGAGCAAATCAGAAAGTATTGCTATAAAATCATAAACCTTTGTTAAACAAAAATATCAAAATATGAAACTTATTTCTGGACATATCCTCAATCACTAGGTCTATACTCTTCTGAAGGCAGTATTTTCATCTCACTAGCCTTTTCCCATGGACTCCTGGTGTGCGCTATAGGATCAGCACTGGACTGCAAATCACAAGGTTGGCAGTTCAAACCCACTAGGTGCTCTTCGGAAACCCTACATAGGGTTGTTATACGACGCAATAGCACTTAAAAACAACAAACCTTTTCCTGAAAAATTCTGCACTCTTCAATTTACACCATTTCAAAATGGCAGTTTTAGCATTCTCGATTCAAACAGTGTTCTCTGTAAATGTTCTATGAGTTTGGGGAACAAAAGGAAGTCTGCGGGGGCAAGGACAGGGCTGAAGGGTGGATGGGGTAAGTTTCCCAATGAAATGCTTTTAAGACAGCCATTGGTACCCTTGAAGAATGAGTACAACCTTCCTGGTCTTTTTCTCATCAATGCAGTTTTCAATTTTCTTGAATTTCTTTCTGATAAACCCCCTCACTGTCCTTTGTTATATGAGAAAATCTACCAAGATTACCCAAAATGCAGTCATCATAACCTTTTGAGCTGATCTGTCTTGAATTGAACCTGGCCCAGCAGATTCCCTCAGAAGTCACTGTCTTGATTGGACCTTATTATTTGAAGGCACACTGATGAGACTGGGACAAGCATATTACTGAGAGACCCTATCTGCAGCCATCCAATGACTGCAGAGACATATTTAAAAACGTTTTGTTTGGAATAAAGCAGAACTTGCATGAAATGGAATCCTAGTAGAAATACTTCATGAGTTACCCTTGTGTGTGTGTGTGTGTGTGTGTGTATATACACATATAAAACACCATCCCTGTCATTAGTGCTTGCGAGAAAGATGAGGCTGTCTACTCCCATAAAGATTTAGTCTCAGAAACCCTAAGGGTCACTGAGTTGGAAGTGATTTGACTAGAGTGGGTTTGCCCCCAGTGAGAGGATGTGTGGAGAGCCCTGTGCACAGGGCTCAGTCCTTAGTCAACACACAGCAGAACTAACAGTGGGGAGGGCCTTGAGAGGAGCTTCTAGGACACTAGTGATGCTTCATTGTATATCACAGGGCTACTTATAGAAGTGTGCTCATTTGTCAAACTTTCTCAAGCTATACATTTGTGATCTATTTAAGAAATATAAGACCTACTTTAACAGAAATTAAAACAAACAAACAAAACATTAAAACAGGAAATAAATGTACTTCCGGTTTAGGTTAGGGTGCTCACCTCAACCAGGGCCTGTAGAAGGCGCTGTGTCAGAGCACCAAAGGGGCACCCATCTTCTGGTTGCTCATGCTGAGCCTCAGACTTCTTCAGCAGGGCATCCACATCTGGGGCAGGCAGAGAAATGGAGGGCAAGTGGGCTAAAGCTCTGGGAATCAGACTGTTCTGGTCTTGGGTGGTCAAGGAGGTGAGGGGTCTACCTTTAGTGTCCAGTTCAGAGAGCGGCCCCATAAGGCCTTTCTTCTTGTCGGCCACGGCCGCTGCCCGGGCACCATCCTTCTGCTCCTCTAGCAGGTCTTCCTGGGCCCAGCGCTGGGAGTAGTGCTTCCCTAGGGGAGGGATCTGTAGGGAGAGCCAAGCAGCCTCTGAGCGTAGACACTGGCCAGGCATGAATGGTGGACACCATGAAGAGGAACAACTTATGGGCGATTGGAATTCCAGAACAGGAAGAGACAGCATAGAGAAAACTGTTGAAGACTTAGTGGAAGAAAGCTTCCCTAACTTCACAAAAGATTTGAAAATAAGCATACAAGAAACTGAATGAACCCCAAATAGGATAGACCCCAAAAGCAAATTACCAAGACCTGTCATAATCAAACGTTCCAAAATCAAAGACAGGGAAAGAATTCTGAGAGCGGCTCGGGAAAAACAAAAAGTTACCTTACAAAACAAAACAAGTAAGACTAAGATTAGATTTTCTCAGCAGAAACCATGCAGGCAAGAAGGCAACAGAATGACATATACAAAAATCTGAAAGAAAAAGATTGCCAACCAAGAATCATACACTCAGCAAAGCAAAGCTGTCCCTCAAATATGATGTTGAAATTAGGACATTCTTGATAAACAAAGATTAAAGGAATTTGTAATTATCAGACCAACTTTACAAAAATGCTGAAGGGTGTTCTTTGGGTTGAGAATCAACAACAGCAGACAACAAATTACCATACATGATCCCACCACCCAGAATTCAATCCAGATATTTGTTGTTGTTGTTAAGTGCTGTCATTGGTTCCTCATAGAAACCTCGTATAGGGTTTCTGAGGAGCAGCTGGTGAGTTTGAACTGCTGACTTTGCGGTTCACAACAACTTTGTAGTCCAACATATTAACCCACAGTGCCACGCCAGGAATCCAGATATACTAGTATTTAAAGTAAAACAAACCTCTAAGACTGAAAATAGGGAACCAGAGCTATCAATGTACAATGAAGTCAACTACAAAGCAAAAAGAGGGAGCAGTGTAGATACAGAACTTCCAAATGGCAAAGAAGTCAAGTAGAATTCAAGATAAAACAGACTGCTTTAAGCAGGGGAAAAAAATAATAAATTACAGATAACTTCAAAGAAAAATAATACACCTGGCACACCAAAATAAAGCAAAAAGAGGAAAATTAAAAAGATTTAGTAGACATTAACTACCACAACAGATTGGGAAATGAAAAGAAAACCCACATGAACTCAGCATAGAAAATTGTGTGGCACAAAGAAAGAATCCAGCTGTACCACAAAAAGGCAAAGAGAAAAATGACAACAATCAATTCATACCTATTGATAATTACATTGTGGATGGATTAAATGTACCAGCCAAGAGATATAAAGAGCAGAATGGATAAGAAAACAGGATCCTTCAGTATGCTGTCTACAAGAGACACATCAAAAAGATAAAAACAGCCTAAATGCCTATTAACAGAAGAAAGGTTAAACTCTGGTACACACACAATGGAATACTACAAAACACTGAAGGATAATGATGAATCTATGAAACACCTCACAACATGGTGAACCCGGAGGACATTATGTTAAGTGAAATTATTCAGTCACAAAAGGTATGAAACCAATGTTGTAAAAAGTTAAAAAACAAATAGTTTTTGTAATAAAAGAAACAGTCTATGATGGTGGGGGTGAGAGATGGGAGAAGGGAAAATGATTCATGGGGTAGTTACCAGGCTAACATGGGTGAGAGGGAGGGCAGTATACAAGCTTATACAGAGGCCAGAGGCCTGCCAGGCCCTGTGTGAGCCTGGAGCCAGGGCAAGTAGCTCATGAGGTGGTGAAAGCAGCAGTAAAGAAGGCGGTGGGGGGTACTGGAGAGCAGGGCTGGGCCAAGAGGGACTAGACCCAGGGTTAATGGGAGCTAGGGGAGGCTCAGAGCACATCCCTTCCTCATTCCCCACCACAACTTACTTAATGGAACATAACCTGAATTAGTAAGTTTAAAGATAAATTTCTCAATACTAGTATGCTAGAAGAACAAAGAATGAAAAATCTGCAGAAAGCTGGAGAGCTATGTGGGACACTATTCTCATCATTAAAAAAACTGCATTTTTATGCACATAAAAAACAAAGACAAAAGAAATGGTCCCTCTGGAGGCCTAAAAGCAGGGAGAGTATTAAGAAGTTGTTGGGTAAAAGCTGATGAAGGCTCGAAGCCAAAGCAGAAGGAAAGGGGATGAGACAACAAGGAAGGATAATCTATGAAGTTGATACTGTAGAAGGTGGAGACCATTTGGGTGGGGTGGAGTGGAGGAGTATGTAAGGAGAAAGCATGGGGTTGGGGTGCGTTTGGGGAAAGAGCAGGCTGGGCACAGTGGAAAAGGAAGACGTATATGGCTCTAGTATGTGATGGAAGCACTTTCTGAGCACCCTTATTCTCCACTACGTCTATGGAGACCCAGGGCTTACCTTGTAATGTTCAGCCTCATCTTCTGGGGGTTTCAGTAGCTCCTCTAGTGTGCGCACCTCCTCACTGGTGATGTCAGCACAGTAGGGCTCCACGGAAGCCCAAAACCTGCAGGGAGAAGACGATCCTGAATAAGCACCTCCTGCCCTGTCAACCTCAGTCCTGAGCCCTTCCATTCCCAGAATCCTGAGGACCCCTTTACATTCCCTGGTCCAGAACCTGTTGGGGGCATCATTCTTGGGGATGCGTGGCACATCAATGGGGTCATCAGTGAATTCATATTCCTGGATCTTGGGCTGAAGATTTTTGGATTTGGGCCTCCCGGGGCCAGGACCTGGCCCATGTCCTGCCTTTCCTTCCAGTTTTTGTTTCTTAGGCTTTCCATGTTTGGGAGGAGCTCCAAGTTCATGGTCTCGACCTAGCTTCAGGAATCGTCGATCACCCTTCTTATCCTGCCAGTCTGTGAGGATCTGAAATTAAGAGACTTGTCACTTGGGGGGAGAAGTGAAGACATAGGACATTTCTCCCAATGAATAATTAGGATCTAGAACCCAAGCAGGCTTCAAGGTCTACCCCCATTCTCTTTTTTTATTTAGCAAACTTCTACTTATCTTTCAAAATTTAGTTCCTTTTCTCATAGGTCTGTATTCATATATTTATCATTCCATTCTCTAGTTTAATTCTATTCTGATTCCCCTCCGCATCACCCAAGCCATATATACAGTATTTGATAAATGGGTCAAATAAATGATCACATCCCAGGACATGCTTGCCCTGGGAAAGTGTGCTGGTGTTAACTTTTTTGATGAAGGCCAGCAAGTCTTGCTGCAACTGAGCAGCCTTCTCCACACTAGTCACCCAGCTTCTTAGATACTGAACTCTAAGTCTGTGCCACAGTCCTGCTCAAAATCTTTAACCAATTTCAAGGGGCCACAAGTTAAATCTATACATCCTTTGTGGAAATGGTATCCCTTCCTTTGTGAGTTTCTGGTGCCTCACAAGGAGCCTGGGTGGTACTGTAGTATAAGCACTGGGCTGCTAACCACAAGGTTAGCGGTTCAAATCCACCACCAATGGCTTTTGTGTGCTTCATACCTCCATATAGATCCAATCATGTTGATCAGTCAAACTGAAACATGGCACACCCTTTCTCTTCAACTAGATTATAAACTACTGGAGACCAGGATGCTCACCATAACTATCTCTGCTGCCCAGGAGCTACCACAGTATCTGGCACACAGGGTTTGGGAGATGTTGATGCAGTGAATAAAAATAGCCATGTTGTTAAGTGGCACCTATGACTCGTTGTTCTTGTTGTTATATGCCTTAGTCAGTTCCAACTCACACTGTATAGGGTTTCTGAGGAGCAGCTGGTAAGCTTGAACTGCTGACCTTGCGGTTCAAACCACCTTTGCAGTCCAGCACGTTAACCCACAGCGCCACTCCAGGGCTCCTTCTGATTCATAGCGACACTACATGGGTTTCTAAGGAGCGGCTGGTGAGTGTGAACTGCTGACCTGGTGGTTCACATCGACCTTGCAATCCAGTGCTCATCCTAAAGCACCACACAGTCATATCAATAAATAACACTTGCTTAAAATGCTTGTTGTTTTTGTTATTAAGTGCTGTCGAGTCTATTCCGACCCATAGCGAACCTGTATAGGGTTTCTGAGGAGCAGCTGGTGAGCTTCAATTGCCAACCTTGCAGTTCAAATGGCTTTGCAGTCTGGCATTAACCTACAGCGCCACACCAATAGTCAGTATCAAACATAGAGCTGAGACTTTGTAAAAACTCCTTTTTCAATCCTCACCAAAGCTCTGAGGTGGAATTCACTTGATGGCACTTAACAACAACAAAGCTCTGAGGGGAGTCCTGGGATGGCACAGTACAGGATAAGCATTGGACTGCTAAGCACCAGGTCAGTGGTTCAAACCCACCAGCCACTCTTTGGAAATCCTACACAGGGTTGCTATGAGTTGGAAAGTAACTCGATTACTCTTGGCAACAATAACAAAGCTCTGAGGTAGGTATTATTATTCAGTCCATTTTACAGATAGGGAGATGGATGCTCAGAAACATGAAATAACTTTCTCAAAGTAACAGGTAGGAAGCTGCGACATTATCAAGAACTTAGTCCAGGAATCCAAGCCCAGACTCCTTCCTCCAGTTCTCCTACAGTTGTAACCCATCCCCTCCCTTTAACTGGCAAGTTGTCTGAGGACCATAATTGTCTTTATTACCTCTCTGCTAACCTCAGGGTTGGCAATTCGAAACTGCCAGTTGTTCCGCGGGAGAAAGAGCAGGCTTTCTGCTCCTGTAAAGATTTACTGCCTCGGAAACCATGTATAGGGTCACGATGAGTCGGAACCGACTCCACGGCACATAACAACAACAACAATGACTAACACAGCGCCCAGCACATAATAGAGAGTAAATAAATGCTTAGTGAATTACCAATCAGGGAGTTTGGTTGCACAGTGGTTAAGCATTCGGTTGCTAAAGGAAAGATAAGCAGTTCAAACCTACCAGCTGCTTCTAGGAAGAATGATGTACAGTCTGCTTCTACAAAGATTTACAGCCTTGAAAACCATAGGGGCAGTTCGACTCTAGAACTGCGCAGAGTAAAAGTGAGGTACTACCCCATCCTGGTGTGGCGCTGTGGGTTAATGCGCTGGACTGCAAAGCAGGTTTGAATTGCAATGTCGGCAGTTCAAGCTCACTAGCCACTCCTTGGAAACCCTGTATAGGGTCACTACAGGTCGGAACCGACGCTATGGCGTTTGACAACAACAAAAACACAGGATCACTGGAGTCCTGTTATGGCACAGTGGGTTAATCCACTGGACTGCAAAGTCAGTTTGAACTGCAAGATTGGTGGTTCAAGCTCACCAGCAACTCCTTGGAAACCCTATACAGGGTCGCTGTGAATCGGAACCGACTCAACTGCACTTAACAACAACATAGGATCACTGGAGTTCTGATGTGGCACTGTAGGATAAGCACTGGACTGCTAACCGCAAGATTGGTGGTTCAAACCCACCAGATGCTCCTTGGAAATCCTGTACAAGGTTTCCGAGTCATAACTGACTCGATGGCACATAGGGTCACTAAGAGTTAGGATTCTCGATGGCAATGGGTTTAGGTTTTTAGTATTGTAATTATATTAGAATTTATGAGGATCATGCACATTCTTGTGGGTAAAATATTGATTCTTATGAAGTTCAAGTGTAATTCACTAAGCATTCTCCTCACCCCACTCTTCATTCTCCTACCACCCATTCCCATGTGCTGGGTCCTATGGTGGCTTCATGAGTCCAGTTTGGGTTCCCTGCCCCCACCCATTAGCCCTTGTACCCTAGGTCTTGACAAATAGGGCAAACTCAATGACCTATCCTGTATTTCATCACGGTTTATCTCTGGTCCAGCAGGTGGGGTATATCACCTGGGTTTCCGCCTCTAGCACCCTTAGGCGGCGGCTGGCAGAGGAGAGCAGAGTCTCCAGTTCCAGCTGCAGGGTGTCCAGCTCTTCGATGCCGATGCCATCATCCTCGGAGCGGGCCAGCACTGCTGTGTAGCGAGGACAGACCTTCAGGTGGTCTACAGACTTGAAGTCGTGGAACTGCAGGGGGCAGTCCTTCAGCTCACTCATGGCCCAGGATAAGAAACCCTGTGGAGTTGGAGAGGAAAGGTTGATGGGGGACAAACTGTCAAGAGAAAAGCCCAATGGCTCCTTCCACCAGAGACAGCTTCAACAAGGAAGTCATGCTTCAGGACCTTCTGACAATGTTGGTGACAAAGCTCCTACTCACAGAACATCTACTAACCAAGCTAGGTGCAGGATACTTCACAGGTTTATCTTGTGGAATTCCTCACCCAATCCTATGAGCAGGAACCACTATCATCTTCATTTTACAGATAGGAAACTGACTGTAAGATCAGGCACCTGCCTAAGCTTACAAACATGTGACTTGAACCCAGGTTGTCTTTATGTTTGTGCCCCTAATAGACTCTTCCCTTTTGTCTCATTCCCAGTTTCTCATTCTTACAAAGTTCTCGGTGCTTCCCAGGCACTCCATGTTCCACCCCTCCCTACCTGGCTCTTTTTTTCTATATCCCTGATAGTGTTAGGAATGTGGGTTGGGTACTCAGACCGACCTGAGTTCAGGCTCAATCTTAATCTCTGTTTGTGACCCTCAATATATTTAACCTTTCTGAGTCTTGGTTTTTCCATCTGTAAATGGGGGCAAAAGAAGACAAGTTCATTTACCTCTCAGAATCAGTTTCCCCTTCTGTAAAATGGGAGTAACAAGAATACCTACCTCCCTGGGATGTTCTGAGGATTAAGAGATGATACCCGTCAAGAGTTTAGCTCAGTGCCGGGCACAGAAGAAGTGGGACAGTTATAATGACTGACCTCACCCATGGGCCGCCCCAATGCCCGCCTGCAAAATCCCAGTCCTCTAGGGACCCTCTAACCCGGTCCCCTCCCCCAATACCTCCTCTCAGCGGCCTCCTACGCCCCGGGGCCGCGGGAGGAGGCGGGGAGTTCCGGTCGGTGGGAGCAACCGCCCCGGAACTGGCGATGGGCGGGCCTCCTGCAGTTGACCCGGGGGCGGGGAGACAGCGCAAGCGATTCCAATGTGGCTTCCGGGAATGGGTGCGGGCCGCCAGCGAGGCCACTACGGGTGGGATGGTATCCCTAGGGCGCACCCTAGAGAGCCTGGGGCTAGGGGGCGGGGCTCGGTGACCGGGATCCTGGAGATGGGTGGCAGTTAGGAGGGGCCCGGAGGAAGGATAGGGACGTAGAACCGGAAGGAACGAAGCGCTTCACTGCCTCAGTCTGTCCTAATATGGTGGCCAACCTGAGATTGGGATGTACCATTGCACGACTATGGGGGAGAGGTGTTGGCTACGGCGTTAAGAATACTAAGGGCATAGTGAAAGCTACGTGGATACCTGGAAAAGCTTGAGTATATATGTCCAACTTCTGAATTTTAAAGTACCAAGACCGTTCTGGGGGAAAAGTTTCTGCGGGCTCGTGTTCCTCGGACTCCCCTCCCCCCACTCGGGAACGGAGATGGTATCGTCCGGAAGTTCAGGCGGATACTGCGGCTGCGCTTCTCGAGAAAGGGCAAGAGTCCCGGAGCCGGCCACTTCCGCACTTCCGCTTTCCGGCCCAGCCAGCGCCCGCGATGGTGAGAGAGCTGGGCCCCGGGCCAGGGACCCCCGCCGTTCTACTTCAGGGCTCTGGGTGTAGGAGAGATGCGGCTCTGCAGCAGAGAAGGCTCGGGGCCTAGGGGTACCGGGGATTGTGGCAGCACGATGCGGCTGGGAGAAAGAGGGCGGGTCGGGGGCCGGTGTGCTGAGGGGACGGGCGGGTGGGGTAGGGGACGCCCTGGTAAGAAGCAGGCCTTGTGGCTTTTTGATTTGGCTCACAAAACAGGTAGGAAGCACTCTTGAGGCGTGGAGGAAGCCGGAAATGGGTCCTCCTACGTTTGTGGAGTGTCTTGAGGGCACGTAGTAGGTCTCATAGCCCGTAGTAGGGCATGTAGAAGGGCCTGCTCCAAGTACACTCCCCTTGACGCTCCTAATTTCTTGCGTTATGTCATTTCATAAGGCAGGCTGCCACACTGCCCGATCCACTCTTCCTGGTACCCCCAGTGCTGCTTCTACTCCACTAAAGGATCTTTTTTTGTTGCCTTCACCCAGGCCTCGCCCTGCTCTGAACTATACGGTGTCAGTCTTACCATAGAATCTGGCTCTTACCATAGGAGCTGATCCTGTGTCCTCCCTCCTTGGAAATCCTCCCTAGCTTGTTAATTGTGGGCGTTCTTGGGGGTTGGAACTTTGGCTCACCATCTTCCTCTCTACATTCCCAGGTGGCACTATCTTAGTCTCATGGTTTTGATGGACTTTCGTCTTTAATGGCTCCTGAATCTGCCTCCCTTCCTCTGGTCTCTCTGTCAAGGATTACTTGGGAATCTTGACAATACCATGAAATCAGATCTCCAGATCAAAAGACATCTTGCCCTCCTAAACTGTCTTGCTCTTTCTCTTGTGTTGCTAGCCTCACTTTGCCCTTTTTTTTTTAGCCCCCTCTTCTGTTCTCTAATTGGCTTTTTAAAAACCAATGTATTGAGGAATTAGAAAAATGATTCTTTCTTTATTCACAAAAAGGCAGGTATCATGGGGCCGGCCACCTACAGGTCACCCCTTTTAGGTTTATGTAGATAAATAGCTGCTATTATTTGGCTCCTAATAATAGCATCCTAATGCACAACATCCTAATGCACAACAGAAATTGGTTGGTTTTGTAATATCTTCACAGTTACCTGCATGTTCAAGTTAGGGCTTTGAACTGGTTCAGTTGTTGACCCAAGCGACACTTGAATGGATTCATATTTTTAAATGTGAGTCACAATGAGAAAAATTATGGCCCTGCTAGGAACTTAATTCCTTCTTAGGAAGCAGGCCAGTTGTGTAAAAAATAGATGTCCTGCTCAAAGATGCTGCTCCTTTGAAGGTGTTGCTCTCCACAATTTGGCAATAATCCAGTGTCATCAATCAGGCCCCTGAAAGGACTTACTGCTCTTTTAAGTCTCCATTTCGGGGCTTCTTTGACCTGTAATTTTCCCCATTCTGGTTAGGGTTCCAGGTCACCCAAATTTTAAAGATTTAGCTCTGATCCAGTTTCATTTTGTCTGTCACAACTGAAATCCTGGTTCAAATCTATTTTTGGTTGTTAGGCCAGTCCATCTCACTTGGGGTCTTGCTGGCCCTCTCTTCCTTTAGCTATTTATATCCTGATGATTTGTCACACAATGCTTTGTTGTGAGCCATATGGTTTTCTGTGGCCATCTTTTGGGAAGTGACTCTCCAGGCCTTTCTTCCTAGTCTGCCTTAGTGTGGAAGCTCTGTTGAAACCTGTCTGTTGTGGTGACCCTGCTGGTATTTGAAATACCCCAGTGCTTCAGTATAGCAAACTGCCATGGTGGATAGTGGCTTTTAGCGTTACCGTCTATGAGTTTAGAAAGACACCTACACATGTTACCATTATTGGTAGTGGACATTTAGAACCTTTCTGTCACTCCAGTAAGTTCCCATAAAGTGCTTTAAAATCAGTCTCTTCTTCCTGCGCCCCATTTCACCCCAGGCAACCACTCTTTTTGTTGTTGTTATCATTTACCTTTTTATGACTGTCACATAAATGGAATTCTTTGCTCTGTATCCTTTTTAGTTTGTCTTCTTTTATTTACCAAAATTCATTTGAAAGTCATTCATATTGTAGGTATCGCTTTGTTGTTAAGTGCCAAGTCGAGTTGGTTCCCACTCATAGCAACCCTGAACAGGTTCATGTTTCCGAGGAGCAGCTGGTGGGTTTGAACTACAGACCTTGTGGTTTACAGCGCTCCACCAGAAGTCACGTTTGACTAGTTGTTCCTTTTTATTGCTTAAAGTAGTCCGTCACAGTTTGTTGGGAGTTGCTCTTGAATTCAGTTATGATCTACATCTGCTAGTCAGTGAGACCCTCATTTTTCCTCCTCACTGCCCCAGTCCAGGCTCTCACCAGCACTTCTTGAATAACCCTCTTGCTTTGTCTCACTTCCCTCTCTGACCCATTCATTGCAGAGCTAGTATGCCGCTGCAGCCATGCAACTGCAACTTCCTCCTCAGAAAGTCCCAACAGTTCTTAAACGAAACTCAGTAATCTGGCATTTGAGAATCTCCATGGTCTTGCATCCTCATTTACTGAATTCAAAATGTTTCCCATATACAGATATTATACTCATGACCGCTTCTGGAACTCTTAGTGAGAATGAGTAAAGCTGTTTGTATGTGTTAGGTACTGAGCTAGCTGAATAAACCAGACATGGTCCCTTCTCATGAGAAGTATGTGTTGCAAGGTGTAGTAAATACTGTGAAGGAGGGAAAACCTGAGATGGAAGGTTGCATTACAGGGTTACTATTTCAGAAGGGGAAGTCTCTTCACTAGAGAGAGACCCTGCATGAATAAGCTGAGGTGGAAGGATGTTTAGGCAGAGAGAGAAGTGAACTGACCTGCTGGTAGATGGCTCAGCATGTTTGAAGAAGCCCAGAGGTGAGAAAAAATGACGGAATGAAGATAGGCCAGGGTAGCTAGCAGCTGCTCTCAGCTGAGAATGTCCTGGTTCTACTTACTGTTTTCTTCTTATAAAAGTCTCCTAAACCTATCTCCATCTTCAAACTCAATTTCATCTGCAGGTATCGGTGATTTATAAATTGAATTATTTCATATTTCACATTTCTTTGTATGATCGTCATTACTTCTGTCTCACCCACCAGGTTGAATTATTTAAGGGTAGAGATGATCTTGGTCATCTTTGAATTTCCAGCACCTAGCCCCTAGTAACAGCTCAATGCCTAAACAGCGTTAGGTGGTGGTGGTATGTGCTTTCGAATTGGTTCTGACTCATAGTGACCCCATATAGGGTTTCTGAGGAGCGAGTGGTGGGTTTGAACTGCCAACTCTGCAGTTGAAACCAACCACCTTGTGGTCTAGTGCTTATTCTTCAGTGCCACAATAGAACTCAGTGTTAGGTGGCTAGCTGCTAACCAGAAGGTTGGTGATTTGAACGCCACTCTGTGTTAGAAAACAGCTGGTAGGAGTACAGGCTAGGAAACCCGATGGAGCCGCTCCATTCAGTCAGGGGAGTTTCTGTGAGCCACAATTACTGGATTGTAGACAACAGCAGCACAACACACTGCAGGACAGATTGAGGACAGTAACTCACCTGCAAGTCTCTAAACTAGAGTTTTCTTAACTTGGGACTATTGACATTTGGGGCTGGAAAATTCTTTGTTGTAGGTGGCTGTCCTGTCCATCATAGAATGTTTTAGAAACATTCCTGGTCTCTACCTACTTGATGCCAGTAGCACCCTTTTACCCAGTTGCAAAAATCAAAAATAGCTCAACGTTGTCAACTGTCCCTTGAGGGCTTATTCTCTAGTGTTGTCTGTGGGGTCTGAGAACCAGGAACCCCCTGTGCAGGCACCCTTGGTACTACCTAGATGCAGGGGGATGCCAGTAGTTTTGGGAGGCAGTTTATGAATTTGAACCTATTCCTTGTTTTTCCTGCAGACTGCCACTCTCCGCCCCTACCTGAGTGCCGTGCGGGCCACGCTGCAGGCTGCCCTCTGCCTGGAGAACTTCTCTTCCCAGGTGGTGGAGCGACACAACAAGCCAGAGGTGGAAGTCAGGTAGGAAGGGAAAAGGTCAGGGAGGGGGTGAGCAGTGCAGCACACAGGGATGCCATGAGCTTGTGTCCCAGAGTTGGCAGGACGGACTACAGTGCACACATTCTGTCTGGCTGCCAGATCAACACATGCTTCTCCATTTGGAGTTCAGAAAATAGGGCCACTGAGTTGGCTGAATCAAACCCAGGAGAGAAGTTACCCTCAAACCAAGAATGGTTGGTGCAGGTGTGACTTTGCAGACTAGGGTTGCTTGTGCAGTGTGTCCTGTGGCATGATTGGAGTCACTGGTAAATTAGAGAAAGGAGGAGTGATATCTCTGAGGTGCTGATTCTGTACTTTTCTGACGGAAGGACCAAGGTGTGTTTTTCTCCCACCAGCCTTGAGCCTTTATTTCTGCTGTCTCACCTTCTCCTCCAAATACTTGATATTTTGAGTTACTTTCTCATGTCTACTTCATGTTTTGTGGCTTTTCCCCCTTTAAAGTTTAATTTGGAACACTGAGGTAATCAGTGCCGTCCTGTTAGCTGGATAGGTTTGGTTTTGTAAATAACGGACACAGTAGTTATGGTATGCCATGTTTTGTTGCTTAACGTGTGATATCCACTTGGGGTTAAGTGTTGTTGAGTCAGTTCATGTTGTGGTCAAGTGCTGTCAAGTTGGTTCCGACCCATAGCAATCCTGTATAGGGGTTCTGAGGAGTGGCTGGTGAGCGTGAACCATCGACTTTGCAGTCCAGTGCATTAACCACAGAGCCACACCAGAAATAGCAACTCTGTATAGGATCTCCTGGGGTGTGGCGCTGTGGGTTAATGCACCAGGCTGCAAAGCCATTTGAACTGCAAGGTCAGTGCTTCAAGCTTACCAGCTGCTCCTCAGAAACCCTATACAGGGTCACTGTGGGTCGGAACCAACTCGCCGGCACTTCACAACAATAGTAACATAGGGTTTCCAGGGAGCAGCTGGTGGATTTAAACTGCCAGCCTTGTGGTTCGCAGTCCTGTGCTGATTCTACAGTGCCGCAGCAGGGCTCCGGTTTCCACTAGATGTTTGAAATGCTGAGGCAAGTGCACAGGTACCACCGCCGCAGTTAACCTCCTTCCAAATACCTGGGAACTCCAGGGCACCAGAGTGTTGCCTCACCTGAGAGAGGGCTCAGTAGTCACCCATTCTGATTTGACCATTAAAGAAGCTATGTGTACTAGTTTGTCCTTACCTTTAGAGGCAGGCTTTTTCATCTCACTCTCTAAATGGTATGTGGGTTTGCCTGTAGTTGCTAAAATACTAACTGTCGTGTGGCTTGTATGCTAGTAGACACTCAACACTTTTTGATCTCTCTCCCATTTCACCAGTGAAATAGGAATCAGAGTCATTTTACAGCTAGGGAAATTGAGGTTCCAATAAGGAAACTTACTGAAAGAAAGTAACAGAGGGGACTGGCTTTCAGAACCTGTTCACCCTGACTCCAGAGCCTGTGCTGTTTTCTAGAGAACACACTCACTGGCCCCCATCTAGGAGCACTCTTGCTTATGGGTTTCCTCCTAGAAGTTGGTTTTGGTGGTCTCAGATCATGATTCCAGGACCTGCTGTGAGGTTCCCTGCTGCTCTTTACCTGTGTAGTACAGAGACCTCTGTGACAAAATTTTTTTCAGGAGTAGCAAAGAACTCCTCTTGCAACCTGTGACCATCAGCAGGAATGAGAAGGAAAAGGTTCTGATTGAGGGCTCCATCAACTCTGTCCGAGTCAGCATCGCTGTGAAACAGGTGAGCTCAACAGCAAGCCCCACGGGGAGTTGAGGTTCTGTCCCAAGCCAGGGATTCCCAAGCAAGAGGTGAGTGTGCCGAATTCCGGGTGCAGGAAGCCTAGGTAGGCTTTGCTTCCTGGAATGTGCCCAGGATAGGATTTGACAAATTCAGCAGGTCAGTAGAACTAAAAAGAGAACAACCCATCATCGTGGCCTTGCTATGATGTGGCCACAGGGCCAGTGTGGTGTCAGAGAACTGTTCTGAGGAATGAGGAGCCAGTCCAGTTCAAAAGACAAGCAGTAGCAGTACCAGTTTTGTAACCGTCTACAGGATGAGATTTATAGTCAAAAAAACCCCAAGTGTCATTTCTTACATATTTTCTCGGGCAACATTTCACAAATATCTGTCAGTCTTGATCACTCCCATACTTTTTGCCAAATTTATGGCCAGCTGAATGTTTTTTTTACTTGATTGGTTGTTGTAAAGTGCCATTGAGTCGGTTCTGACCCGTAGCGACCCTGTATAGGATTTCCAAGGAGCAGCTGGTGGGCTTGAACCGCTGACCTTGGGGTTCAAACAGCTTTGCAGGATTTGCAGTCTGGCACATTAACCACAGCGCCATACCAGGACTCCTTTACTTGATAGATTTCTTTAAATAGGCTTATTTTCTTTTAGTTGAATTTGTTTGAAAAAGAAACTGTATCATTCCCAGAAGTATCTCTTGGTACAGATAGAGGGCAAGGCTGAAAATAAACACAATGAAAACAAAACATGGTATTAAATTCACACCATGCATACAGAAAGTTTTAACTCTTGGGGCCTACTGTTTTGTTAAAATGGGAGATTGACAAGAATTGGAAAGCTTTATAGGCATATCAACCCCCAGTGCAAAGTTCCTCCCTTAGAATTATTGAAAGAGAATTCAGAAGGGAGACACTTTGGAGATTGATGTTTGCTGTTACTAAAGTGGAGACCACTGAAGATTAGCTTTGATACCCAGTGTAGTAAATGTCATACACTTGGGGAAATGTTAAGTGCCGTGGAGTAGGTTCTGACTTAACGACCCTGTGTAGGGAAATGTGGTAGTGGTTATGTGCTGTGGAGTCAGTTCCCACCAGGGAAACGTAGCACTAGTGAAATGAGGACGAGAAAGAGAAAAGCAATTTTGCTCTGAAAGGAGCTTTGAAAAGAGCTGGCAGACTCAGGCCGGCCAGAATTACCTCTGAAATGAGGGCAGACAAGATCAGGATCTACCTTATTGAGTTGGAGAGGCCCTTGTTCCTATCATCTCTTTAATTAACAACCAATTCTGTCACATTTGAAAGTCCAGGCAGTGATGACTATCAGTACCAAACCCCACTGCCTATACCAAGCCTAGGAAAATTTGGAGTCCACAGACCAGGCTTTTATTGGGTTTTGTTGGCTCAAGGGTGCAACTTAAGGGAAATTTGTTTTTACTTTGCTTTCAATAGGCTGATGAGATTGAGAAGATTTTATGCCACAAATTCATGCGCTTCATGATGATGAGAGCGGAGAACTTCTTTATCCTTCGAAGGAAGCCAGTGGAGGTGAGACACAGTGGGCCTGTGGGACCTTTGTCCTGGCTTCACTGTTCTCTTCTGCGGCTTCTGGCCTGTGTCATACCCAGGAATTCTGCCACCGACTAGCCAGGGTTTCTGAGTTCACTGTCACTGGTATGGGACTGTAGCCCCAGGATTGCTGTTTTTCGGCTGTAGGGCATCATTGACTGAGTTGAATGTTGATCTTCATCTCAGTTGAAGTGGGAGTAAAGTGAATCAGAAGCTTAAGAGAAACTGGGACTACTTCAACCATGGAAAAGACAAAGATAGGATGATGCATTGCTCATCTTCCCCTAGCCAACAAGCTAGCAGCAGAAAGAGCAAACTCAGGAATCTTTCTAATAAGCTGTCTTACCAGCTGCATCATAGTTTATCAGCATCACAGATGGCATTGGGTCACTTGTTGCCTGACTTTCTTCTGGACTTTTCTCCACGGTTTCCCTACCAGGTTGACTTAAACTTTTCCCAGTGACTTAGCAATACCATGCAGAGCAGCACTTAACCATCTTTAGACTTGTTTGCCAGGTTCTTCCTTATGAGCAAAATATTTCTCTCCTGGTCCTAGGCCTAACGTCTGGGGCTACACTGAATAAATTAAATTATTCTTCCACATGCAACCTTCAGATATTCCCAGACCTCAGTTCCTACTCCTGTCTATGTCTTTTCTCTAGACTAAATATTTCTGATTGTTTGATTAGACTCTTCTGTGACAAGGTTTCAAGACCCATTGCAGACCTCTGACTCATTCTAACTGCAATGGTTTGTGCCTGGGTAGTCTTCCAGAAATGTCTGCTTTCCGTAAAATTCCAGCATAGGCATCCACCAGAGCAGAGGCTGATAACCGAAAGGGTGTGTGGCTTGGGAGAAGATCACAGCCAGCTGGAAACATGGATAAGGAAAGTAGCAGACCTGGTCAGATAAGTGCTCCGAGGCGGCTAATTCTCTCCTGTTTCTCCTCCTCCCTGCCATCTTCCTCTCCCTAGGGGTACGACATTAGCTTTCTGATCACCAATTTCCACACAGAGCAGATGTACAAACACAAGTTGGTGGACTTCGTGATCCACTTCATGGAGGAGATCGACAAGGAGATCAGTGAGATGAAGCTGTCTGTCAACGCCCGAGCACGCATCGTAGCTGAGGAGTTCCTCAAGAATGTAAGAATGTAAAACCCTTTCCAGCTTTCTCCCGAGGTGGGGGGCGTCCTGGGATATGCTGAGAACCAAGCTTCTGCTTTGGTGGGAAAGTAGTACCACCAGTGTGTGACTGTGTCAGAGGCCTCCAGGAATCTGTCCTGTGGCACACCAGCCAGGTGCTTTGGGGCTACAGGGGCCTGGCATCCAGCTTTGAAAGCTGAGTGTGTGTGTGATACTCCTTTACGTGTGAACCATACGTTCATTTCTATACCTCAAAATCCACAGAAAGTCCTCACCTGCATTTCGTTCAAACCCAAGTGAGGCAAGTTAAAGCCATAGGTAAAATTTCTAGGAACATAAGATAGTTCATTCTCGTATGTAATCCTGCTTTTCAAGCAGACTTAAATATTTTCCCTCAGCCACTGTTGCTCAGGCTCAAGGCACTGGTTCCCTTTGCCTGCTTTCTGTCGCTTCCGTGCCGTAAGTCCTCCAGAGCCCCCGTCAGTTCTTTGTGCCTTTCTAGCTGAAAGGACTGCAGTCCTCTGGAGAGGAGGAATTGTTTACACTGACAAACTGACCTAGTAGTTCTTGTTTTGATATTCAAGACATGCCTTTTTTTTTTTCTTCCAAACAGTCTTTGGTTTGTTGACATGTTCCACTTAGAGCTGAGTCTGACCCCTCGATAGTGGACATAGTGTTTATTTCTACCAGAACAGACAGACCCAGCCTGAAAGGAACTCAGACTCCTAAAATTGGAAATGATAGTGCTTCCCCTGGGGCTTAGGGCGCTGAGGGCAACCTGTGTAAAAAGTGGCTGTGCTTGTGTGCACAGGGCGGGGCTCCTCTACCTTCTTAGCTTCCTTCGCTATATAACAGGCAGAATATTTACCTTTCAGAGTGGTTAAACGTTGGAGGAAGTGTTGTATGCAAAGCATATCTCCTGGTACACAGTACATTCCATGTGTTGTAGCACCGCCTGGAGACCTACTGTGAGGAAAAATAGCTCTTGTTCCAATTTAGTGTCTGGCTCATTCATCCAACAACCATTTACCTATTACGATGCTTACATTTCTGTAGAGTTAATACAGCTTAAAAGCATGATCATAAGTCGTAATTTAATACTTAAAACAATCCTTGTGTCAACTGTTAGCCCCATTTCATAAATGAGTAAACTGGGACCTGGAAAGTTGAGCCCCTTGCCCAAGATTCATCAAACAGTAAATAGAGGAAGCAAGACATGAAGCTAGATTTTCTCAAAGAACTAAGGAGGTACCATAGCATCTGACAGGGTCATGAACCAGATGAAGTGGACTGGCTAGGAACTGGTGAGCACATGCCTCGTCTCGGACTCCTGCCACCCAGTTCTAGCCCATCATGGCCTCATCTTTCCACTTTCCAAAAGAATCCCCAAATCTGGATTTGTATGTGACATGTTTTATAAGTTGGCATACTGTTTTAACCACTGTGTGTGCCAGACAGTACTTCTCTATGGGTTGTCTTCTGCCCATCAGCTACTGGTTTAGCATCTCTAGTCTACAGAATATTCAGTACTGTTTCAGGCTTCATGGCAGATAACTGAGAGTAGAAAAGGTTTCAAGATCTTGTTCTAGTAGAAGGACCATCCAGAGTTTAACACAAAATACCCAACCCTGGGTCTCTGTCCCCAGGTCCCCTTGTATGACTCCCAAGTCCCATCTCAGCCAAAGAAGGCAACCTCACCTCAGTTCCCCAAACAAGGCACTTCATAGCAGCCTCTATGCTAGAGCCAGTGACCCATGATTCCTGCTGTATACTGCTGTCCACCAGGCTTCACCCCTCAGAGATCTGAGCACAGTGACTACTCTCAGGTCAGCCCACCTCCCTAGAGCAGGTCCTCCAGGTATAATAACAACCACCACTCATTGCCTCTTGCTTCTCTTGACAGTTTTAAACCATCTGGCTGGATCACATGGCCTACCCCCTCAGACTCCCCCATGTCTCTCTGCAAAGGTGTCCTGGAGTTACTTCCCAGAGTGGCGGTGGCCGCGGCAGCAGCAGCAACAACTGGAGTGGGGAGCTGGGTTGGGGTGGGCATGAGGGAGGGGGGTGGTGTGCTTGCTAGCTGGGCAAGAAAGCAGCAGCGGACCTGCCCAGGGCCACACTTGCCTGGTCAGGCTGGCTTCTGATGTTCTGTCCCCTGGGCTGGGACGCGTTTTTTTTTTAACATCTTGAAACTTAAACTCTGTGCTTTGTAGGAGACTGTAACCTTTTGTGGTTTTTTTTTTTTTTTTTGGAAACAACTTCCAGTGACTGTGACTGGTCCCAGTGATTGTACATTATTGGTCGCTGTGGGTCTGGGCGGGCCTGGAGCCAGAAGACGACTACTATTTCTCCCCATGTGGCCCTGGGTGGGGAGGTGGGGTTCAAACTCCTGTTTCTCCCCCCTGCCCTCTTAATTCCCAAGCTTTGTTGGGCCGAGTAGAAGCTGTGAGGACCCTCTGGTAGCTTCCAGCACTGTTTGGGGACAAGGGCTGAATTGGTGGCTACCTAGGAGCTGGGGCCTGAAAGTCAAGCCACTCTGACCACAGGCCATTTCACGCTCTCCCAACAAAGAGGTGCCACTGTCTCGCCTTGTCTGTCAGTGTTGTGCCTGTGTTGGAGGTGGAGAGGTGACTTCTCCAGAGCTCCCTGCGGGGGCCCTCCTTCCCCAGCTCTGGCTCCTCTGCTCGCTGTACTTTTTCTTATCTGGTGGATCCTCCCCCCTTAATTAAAGTCTCTTCTTGCCCCTTTGGGGCTGCATGAGGTCTGTGCTCTCTGTCTGCATGAAAGGAGGGAAGGTGGGGCTTTTTCTTACTCCAGGCCACCTGGCTGGTACTAGGTCCCTGAGGCAGATCCTGACATTGCCTCTGCCATGGCTTCCAACCAGAGACTCCTTCGTGGCAGTCTAGGCACCATCCACTTGTGAGACTGTACTTTGTGCCTATACAGAGCTGTAGTACTCCTTACACAGTGCTCTCTTGGCCAAAGGTAACCTCAGGAAAGTGTTCCCACTGCCCCCTCTGAGAGTTGCAGTTGGTGAGATAGAGCATTTTGCCCCAGATCTCCCAATACAAGACTTCAGCTTCTTGTGCCGTTGAGTATGTTAGCCACTAGTGCATGTGGCTATTTAATTCAAATGCAATAAAGTGTAAAATTCAGCTCCTCTGTCCCACTAGCCACATTGCAAGTGCTAGTGGCTGCCATAACAGATGGCGCACACATATAGAACATTTCCGTCGTGGACAGTGCTGGACCTGTTGGGCGAGACTCTGAAGTCAAAACAAAACTTGGGTTTGTGTTCTGACTCGTGTGCTGTTTCTGTAAAGAGCACAAATGTAAATGATCTGACCCAGAACCTGCGTCACAGGCACTTTATAAAGGAACTGTTCTTCCCACCAGCTCAGTGCAAACACTTGTGTAACTTAACGTTCTAGGCATGAAGGATGACATCTCTGCTTTGAAGACACAGTACAAGAACTAGGTGGGTAAATAGTCACACTAAAGTGTTCCATATTCCCCAGTGAAATTTGGGGAAGAGGGGGTGGTCCTGGAAAGTGTATTTACAGGAGAGGATAAGAGGTGTTCTCAGAACTGATCTTTGAAAAAAGGTTTACTCCAGAGGCTAAAGAAAGGTGTCTATTCTCCTGGAGGGTAATGATCTTTTGTACGTAATTTTCATGTTTATTTGATAAGTGCATATATGTGTCTGGTGTGGTGCTGTGGGATAAAGCTCTGGACTGCAGGGTCAGTTTGAACCACAGCCACTTGGAAACCTTATACAGGGTAACTATGAGTTAGAACTAACTACGACACTTAACATCTGTGAATTGGATGAAGGTTTACAGAGCAAATCGGTTGCCCATTCAACAATTTTGTTTCATGTTCATGATGGCAATCTCCACAATAACACGCTTATCCCACTTCCTGTTTCTGTTCCTAACCCTTCTGAACTTTGTCCTTGATAAATGCTGCCCTTCTGATGTCAAATGGTAGATGATTCTAAGGTGCATACGTCCTTAGTGCCACTGTGCCCCTTGTCGACCTGTCATTTGGCTGAAAACAACCAAGGGGGTGATGTCAGTTCTATAGCTAAAGGGTGCCTAGGGACCATTGTTTTTCTACCAGTTGCTATCCAACCAGTAAGTGTTTTTATGATTTTGAGTTTTGTTCCACATTGTTTCTCCCAGTCTGTCCAGGACCTTCACCTTCTAGTCCTCATCTCAGACTGGTTGTGGTTCCTAACAGGGCTAGTTGTTTCCAAGCATCTGTCTTCACTCTTTGCTCTGGACTAGGAAAGACCAATCGTTGCACTTCTGTTGCTAAGTGCTATTGAGTTGGTTCCAACTCCTAGCAGTTCTGTACGGGTGAGTTTGAACTGTTGACTTGGAGGTTAGCAGTCCAGTGTTCATCCTATAGTGCCACACCAAGACTCCTTAGGTGGTCTTTAAGACCCCAGTTGCTGCTCACTATGTTGTGAGTATCGTGGAGTCAGTTCCGACTCATAGTGAACCTGCACAGGGTTTCCGAGGCTGCAAATGCTTATGAGAGCAGAAAGCCTCATCTTTCTCCCACAGAACAGCTTGTAGTTTCAAGCTGCTGACCCTGAGGGTAGCAGCCCGATTCATAACTACTACACTACCAGAGCTCCTTGCTATAGTAGGATGTAAAACATGGTCTTTGTAGACTATATTATGTCAATTGACCTTGAAGACCCCTAAAGGTAATGTTTCCAAAGGGAGGGGCTAGAGGTGGGGGCAAATTGGAGAGCTAATCAGCCCCTTTGTGACATTACCTCTGTGACCTCCCTACCCACCTTGCAGAGTTAGGTGTGTTCTTGGGGCACAGGGCCATGTAGTATGCCAACGGCACTCAAGCAAAGCTGGATGCCCACTAAGATGGCAGCTGGTTATTCTACCCCTACAGAAAGGCACTGCCCAGGTGAGCTGGCCAGACCCTCATTTACCACAGATCCATCTCAATGTCTGAAGCCTCCAAAGCCAAATTTGCTAGCTGGATGGTTACTTACCAGGACTCTTTACATTCTTGGAGGCCCTATACAGCGTTACTACAAATCAGAACCTACTCAATGGCACTTAACACCAACAATGTAACTTAATACTTTGCTAATGCACTGAACTGCAAAGTTGATTTGAACCACAAGGTTGGCAGTTCAGGCTCACCAGACACTCCTTGGAAACCTTATCGAGATTTAACTACCTCCAATGAGGTTACTTATGTCCTGGCTTGAGAGTGTGTATAACTGTTTACATCTATTATAAGGGGTTTGTAGAAAATTGGAATGAAAAGGTAATAGAATTTTTTCATGAACATGTGAAGCCCTCATGTTTCTCAACGGACCGAAGTGGTGATCCATTTCTCAATTTCCTAGGGTTTTGTGTACGTTTGGTGGGGGATGGTGTGAGTGGGCTGGGAGAGTCTGCACCTTATCAGTTGTTAAGTGTCATTGAGTGGGTTCTGACCCATAGCGACCCTGTATAGGGTTTCCGAGAAGCAGCTGGTGAGCTTGAACCACCGACCTTGCAGTTAAAACGGCTTTGCAGTCTGGGGCATTAACCCACAGTGCCACACCTTAATCAGTGCTGCTCCCTATTATTGCTCTGGTTCTTAGATCTATTCCCAACAGCCTTACCCTAGTCCCATTTTCCAGGCCTTGCAAAATCTGAGCTAGGAAGCTTGTTCCACCCCTCTTCCCCTGGCAGACTCATTAGCATTATGTAGGGTTCATCTGAAATGTCACCTTTTTAGGGATGACATTCATGAGCACTTAGCCTAAAGTGTGTCCCATTCCTGATTGCAGTCCATTGCTCGCATACCTGCAGCACCTATTCACTGGGCTGACAGCTCCATGAGGTCAGGGACCACCTCTGTGTTATGCGGGTCCCCAGAGTCGTCTAGTCCAGTGTCTATAAATACTGTGGAATAGCTCAGTCCCAGGGCCATTGGCACCCTGGAGGCGCCCTGTAAGAAGCAGAGACGCTGATAAAAAGTGGCAGCAGTGCTCTGTGCTTCCACATACAGTGTTTCATCGGGACTGCAAGCAGGTGAGGTCCAGCGCCAGGCCCACTGGCTTTGCTTGGAAGCTAGGGGCCCAGGGTAGCCCCGGAACCCACCTTGTGCGATCTGATTATGCCCCGGAATGGTTTCCAAGGCGACAGCAAACAGAGGGCGGGGTCTCGGAACGGAGGGCTCAGCTTGGAGAGAGAGAGCCCTCTCCTGGGAGAGGCCACCAGACGCGAGCAGTGGCGGGCGCAGGGGCTCTGGGAGGGCGCGCACGGCTAGGGGCAGGGGCGCATGCAGGGCCCCGGCGCCGCGTTGCTCCTGACCGGGAGTCCGGTGGGGGCCGTGCGCCGGGGCTCTGCCAGCTGGTACGGCCAGGAGGGCGGCTCTGTGTGCAATTGGCGGCAGAAATTGCAGCCGCCTGAACCTCGCACCAGTTCTCCCACCCCATGGCCCTTGGCACACCACTCCGATTTTCGGCTGCCCAGGACACTGCAATGGCCTGGGCCTGCCTCCGCTGGTCCCAACAGGACCAGCGCAGGCCGCCAAAGCCAGGCCGGCAGCCCCTCCTCTGCGCGCCTCCCGGGCTGCGCCTTCCCAACGATCGCCCACAGCGCTCAAGCCAAGGGCGCCGCGGATCCCCATTCCCTGGGTCCTCTGCACATCCCGGCCCTGGATGACTCCCAGCAGCAGAAAGGTGAGGCCCAGAGAGGCCTGCCCACCTTGAGGCAGCTAGCCCTTGGTGGCTGCAAGGTGGAGAAAAAGGGTGGGAGGGAGAAATGAAGGTCAGCAGAAAAGTGCCAGTGGGTGGGTGGATGAAGTGTGGAAGACGAGAGGGGTCAGAGAGGGGTCATCGGCATCGAACTGTCAAATACCTAAGCCGAGCCCCCAGGACAACCCCAGCCACCCTCTCCCCATGTCTTTGCAGGTTCATTTGTCCTGTGGCAAGGATTTGCCAAGTCATCTCAACACATGGGCCGGCTCAGAAACGCCAAGATCCACGTGGAGAGAGCTGTCAAGGTGGGAGGGAGATGGAGGGATGCAGAAAGAGCCCCTGGGTGTGGCTCAACGTGCCTTACAACACTATATTCTCCCTTTCTTTAAAAAAAAAAAAAACCACAAAAAACTACTATCCATCTTTAACTACTTTTCCTGAGTGGACTGCACCTTCAGAGCTAAAGGAACCCTGGTGATGATGTGGGTTAGGCCTTGCCTCACCAGCCTTTAGCAGGAGAAAGGCTGCCTGCTCTGTAAGGATTTAGTCTTAGAAACCCTATATATAGTTGTCATATATAGAATTGACTCCATGGCATTGGGTTTTCACAGTCAAAGCTCTTGGCAGAATTGTCTACACTTATCATTCTATGTCTCTACCTGGGATTAATCCTCAACTCCACTCTGGTCCCCTGTCCTTCCCACTGAACATCACCCTAGTCAAGATTACCAGTGACCTCACAGGAACCAAGGCTAGCAGCCTCTTTTCTATCCTGATTTTGGTTGTCTAGCATCATCCTATATTGCCTGCCCTCTCAGCTGACTGCGCACTCTTGCTTTTTCCTTTCTCCCGCCATGGCTACTGATTTTCAGTTGTCTTGGAAGGTTTTTCAGGACATTAGTGATTTCTTGAGTCCCTCCCCATGCCTTTTCCCGATATAGGTTCATTTATCCCCTTGTACCTGTCCAATAGTGTGTAGACACTCCTCTCAGGAGAACTTCCTCATACCCTTTCTGGCCTAGCCTCTACTCTGAACTCCACATGAAAGCACTAGATGTCCCTGACTAAACATCAACTAGAGAATTTACAGACACTTCAAACTCTTGTCCCAAACCACATTCTCTGGTTTTGTGCCCAAACCTATCTTCCTTCTCAGTCTTTGTCTTCCCCATCTCCCAGTTGCTCAGGCCAGAAATCTGATATTTCTGTTTCCTTCCCTACATGTAATTCCATCAGTAAAACCAAAAATCTCTAGCTCTAACACAGATCCATCACCTCCCCTTCTTCACTCTAATAACTATTGTGATTTCTCTCCTGCACAAACCACACCATCCTTGTCCCCTCCCTCTCTGTTCCATACAACAAGCTCAACTTTTTACGGCTTCATGCTGTTCTTAGTATTGGGTCCTGGTGTGCTGCGCTGTAGGATAAGCACTGGACTGCTAACCATAGGTCAGTGGTTCGAACCCACCAGCAGGTCCTGAGAAACCCTATCCAGGGGCACTCTGAGTCAGAACTGACTTGATGGAACTTTAACAACAACCACACTTAGTATAAAACCTTGTCTGTTCCAAGGCCTACAGAAACCCTATACAGGGTCTCTAGGAGTAGGAAGTGACTCAATGGCACTTAACAACAACAATGTATATAAGTACTTATTGTGTATGTTGTTGTTGAGTTGGTTCCAACCCATAGCAACGCTATCTAAGGTTTCCAAGGAGTGTGAACCACTGACCTTGTAGTTCAAGGTTGACTTTGAGGTTGAGTACTTATCCTACAGTGTCAGTGTCAACCCCAAACTCCTTATTCTGTATATAAGTGCTTAAGAAATATTAGCTGGTAGTGCAATGGGTTCAATAGTAGGCTGTTAACTGCAAGGTTGACAGTTCAAATCCACCACCTGTCCCATGGGGGAAAGATGTAGCAATCTGCTTCTGTAACAATTTGTAGCTTTGGAAATGCTATGATGCTGTTCTACTCTGTCCTGCAGGGTGTCTGTGAATCAAAATGTACTGGATGGCAGTAGGTCTGGGTTACCCTTATTGTGACTATGCATATTTTTCTACTTGTTTAGTCTCCCCTACTGGATTATAAAAATTCTAAGGGCAGAGACCATGACTGTCTGGTTCATCATTATATCCCCTATGCCTGACACTTAGGCAGTATTTATTGAACAAATATCCATCTCTCACCTTATAGCAGAAGAAAATCTTTATGATCCAAGGCCGCTACCCAGTGATCCGGTGCCTCTTGCGCCGGAGGGGCTGGGTGGAGAAGAAGATGGTCCATCACTTGGGTGTGACCCTGCCACCATCCCAGAATGATCTGGATAGATCTATCATGTGTGATAGCGACACTACTGAGGATGGTGAGCAAGTCCCTCCCATTCCCAGCTGTACCTCCTGACTCCCTTTCCCTCCTGCAGCCCCAGGGCTAAGGCCCTGGAATGGGCAGATGGGGCAAGAACTCAACAGGCCTGGGCTTTGCATTCACAGAGGATGAAGAAGATGAAGAGTTCCGGTCATCGCAGCTATTCGACTTTGATGGTTTACTGGAATTTGATGGCCTGGATGGGACCCACGCTCTGATGGTGAGAGACCTGGGAGCCAAGACAAAGCAGGGGGTACAGAGGGAGAGTACTAGCATCCAGCTAGGTGACTGCAGACAAGTCCGATTCCTTCTCTGGGCCTGTTTCCCCACCTGTAGTAAAACCAGATGGCTTCCCTGAGGGCTAGATTGGCCAGTAGAGATGGGGAGACTCAGCCAGAGCTCAAACAAGGCTGGCCTGGGAGTTAGAATTCTGCTAGGTTGTATCAGAAGTTGGCATTGCCTTCTCCAGGTCTGGTAGTACTCCCTTCCAAATAAAATATCACAGTTAATCCCCTTCTTCTGCCCTGGGCAAGTGAAGGCTAGAGGGAAGGGGTAAAATGACTGAAGCTGTGAAGGACATGCATGTTGAGGTGAGGACACAGGTTCAAATCTTGGCACTGCTACTTACTAAATTAAATTATATAAAATGTCAAGAAAAGTTGAATGCTGGCAATTTAATATGGTTCAACCTAATAATGGCTTGTGAACCCTTGTAAGCGTTCCACGTATCTTCCCTTTGCCTCTGTCCCCTCATCTGTGGAATGGGGTTAACAACAGCATCTACCCCCTTGGGTTGTGGTACAGATTAAATGAGTTCAGATATGCAAAGTATTTAGAACAGAGCCTGGCATATGATGTTATTGGTTATTAATAATCCTATCTCCCCGAATTGTAAGGGGGATGAGAAGGTGGAGGCCTGGGAGAGGGCCTTTGCACAGGCTGTGTGCCCATCAGCTTGGAATTACTGGCCTGGGCATATCCCTGGTGACAGCAGGCCACGACAGGGTGCAGCACATAGTGCTGGCCACTGCTTAGGAGCGCTAAGCCAAAGGGAGGCTGAACACTGGCCTGCTCTCTGCTCCCTCACTGTGTGCCCTACATATAAAAGTGGTGTGTGGGCTAGAGGCCACTTTGGAAGGCCCCCCTATTTCCTGTTCACTTGCCCCCTCTCAGGTCTTGTGTTGCTGTCACCAACCTCCTCTCTCTTTCCACACTCCCCAGTCCCGCATGGTTCGGAATGAGACCCCATACTTCATCTGGACCACTCGGCGGGATGTGCTGGACTGTCGCCTCCTCGCCAAGGATCAAGTGATAAACCACTATGCTCGAGCTGGCTCCTTTACCACAAAGGTGGGCTCCCCAGGAGGGCCAGGTAGGGCAGCGTCCAACGCTCTGCTCCTGGGCCTGCACCCTGTTCCCCTTGTCAGAGAGTTAGTTCTTAGGGAAGGGGAAGGTATATCAGTCTGCAGGATTTGGAGTCCAGCCTGGGTTCAAACCCAATCCTGGGCACCATGCCTGATACACACAGACATGAATAAAACAGGCTCTAGAACTCAAACAGGGCCTGGAGCTAGAACCAATAGCAAATCCACTGGTTAAGAATAAGAGGTTGTCCTTTGCCTCCTAAGCAGGAGATGACCTGGCTGATGGAATCTAAACCATCTTACCTGGGTTCATTAGCAAGTGAACTTCTGAGCTTCACTTTCCTTATCTTCCAGTGGGGATGACAGTAAGACCTATCTCCCAGGGTTATGGCAAGGTTAAAGAGTTTTATAACTAAGTCCTGCTATTCTTCTATTGGAGTTGTGGTGTGGTGCTGTGGGTCAATGCACCAGACTGCAAAGCTGTTTGAACTGCAAGGTCAGTGGTTCAAGCTCACCAGCCACTCCTCAGAGACCCTGTACAGGGGGATCACTATGGCTCAGAACCAACTTGATGGCACTTAGCAACAACAACATTATTTTATTGTCCTGGTGTGGCACCACTGTAGTATCAGCGCTGGACTGCGCTTCACGAGGTTGGCAATTCAAACCCACCAGCTGCTCCTTGGAAACCCTGTACAGGGTCGCTATGAGTCAGAACGGACTCAATGGCACTAACAGCAGCATTCTTTTTTGATGTGGGTTGACAGGTGTATCTAGAGGAGGCAGCTCTTTATGAATGTGGAAGTGAGCAGGAGGGATGTGGGACACTCTTGGCAGAGGACAAAGATAAGCAAGGCAGGCCCAGCAAGTGGGGAGAGGCTCTGAGAATGTGCAGGCAGGGTCTCCCTGAACTGTCTGTGTGGACCCCCTTGGAGGATCCCTGGGCAAGTCCCATCCTGCCCCATCAGCAGCTAACTCCGCAGGTGGGACTATGTCTCAATCTCCGGAATTTGCCCTGGTATGACGAGGCTGATGCTGACTCCTTCTTCCCACGCTGCTACCGCCTGGGGGCTGAGGATGACAAACGAGCCTTCATAGGTAAGAAGACCCTCAGCCCCACACCTGGACCCCTCAGGCTGCAGGATTAGGGCTAAAGCCCTGGCTCAGGTTGGAGAAGAGCAGACCTCTTCTCATGCCCTCCTCTACCTCAACAGATTTCCCTCACCATCCCGAGCCTTACTTTTTCCTAATGTGCCTTCCTTTAATGTGCAGTCTAGCTTGGTTAACCCAGACTTCCTTAAGCACTTAGACAGATATATATTATAGCAGGTTCTAAAGAAATTGATCAGTTGGTTGAGTTTGGAATCTAGTATAGGCTCCAGGCCTATTCATGTTCCATTGGATGGATCAGGTTCCAAATCTAGAAAACGCTTCTAGATATTGGGTTCCTAAGTTAGATTCATTTTCGATTTCTGACTATGTTCTAAATTAAGATCAGAATTGGAGTCCATAGTAGATAATAGGTTTTAATTAGACTCCAGACAGGTTTTGGACTGAGGTCTCATTCTTAGGCACAATTAAGTACTAAAAGTGGGTCAGAACAGAAGAGTGAAATCAGGCCAGATTCTGAAGGCAGAATGTGAGGTCAAGTGAGGTCAGATTCAGTTCTGTAATTGAATTAAAAGCCAAGTTCTAATCCAGGTTCTAGAGTCAGAAAAGGTAGACAGGTTCCGGATCCAAAACGGGGCAGGTCATGATTAGGTTCCGGAACCAGAATAGGCCTCGAGCCTAGGGGCTGAGCAGGGTATCCCCTGCCCCGGGAGCAGAAGACTTCTGGCTGACAGCTGCCCGCAACGTTCTCAAACTGGTGGTGAAGTCCCAGTGGAAGCAATTCTCTATCCAGGAAGAGCAAGAGGCCCCAGGTAAGAGCTAGGCGTAGTAGTGCTTACCACTTCCCCACTCGTCTGTCTAGCCACCCATCCTTACATCCATTATTCACCCACCTGCCCATTTACTCATCTGCAAATCTATGTACCATCTACCCATCTACCACCCCCTCCCACCACATTAGCTACACACCTCTCTCCAGCCTTCCACCCATCAAGCCATTGACTCAGCCATCTCGCCACCTGTGTGCTCACCGTTAATCCACTCACTCACTCACTTTCCAGGCATCAGCTCCATAGTCTCCATCCATGAATTCACTCCCTCACTTGTCTACCTATCCTTCCATAGATCCATCTACCCATCACTTTTCTATCCACCAACTGTCCTCCATTTATTCCTACCTTCTCTTATCCCACCCACCCATTTGTCTTCCTACTTGGTATTTGTTAATTAGCCCACTGCTCTCCCATGGGCCTAGCATGTGTCCAAGCACTCTGGAGCCATCAAACTAAGAAGTCATGCTCATGCCTGCCTATGGGGAGCTCAGTTCTTTGAGGAGGAGGCGGAGTCAATCTGAGAAATTTACAGATGGCCTGAAGACCTGTTGAACCTGATTATAAGGAACACCTGGGAGTGGAGGGGGATGGGACATTGAGGAAGCCTCTTTTACAATGGCCCATCCAATGCTTGCCATTTCTGGACTTAGCTCCTACCTTAAAGCCACCAGTCTGCAATCCCAGATTCTGTCAGCCAGGGATTCGGGAAATGCAGGGAATTTCTGCTGAAAGGAATAAAACTCACCCCATGCTGCTCCAGGTACAAGGAAGACTGTTGTGTACCAGGATCAGGGCCTCAGGTATAACCCGGGAGACCCTGTGTTCAAACTCCCATGGTGTTGTGCCTGGTGTAGGTCAGGTTTCAGTTTACAGAGAGGGTCTCCGTTGCATATTAATTACATCAGTAGTTTAGAAGAGCAGCAGATGTTCAGGGTGAGTCAAGACAGCAGCTGTATGTGTGCATGTGAGGTGTCTGTTTCTGGGGTGCTATGTTAAGGTGTGTCAGGACTTGCGCAGTGTGGAACTCTAGGTGTGTGAGTATCAGAACCCTGGGTGTGTGTGAGGGCCTCAGGAGTGGTGGTATCTCAGTTAGCACCTCAGTGACTGAAGGACTGTAGCAAGATATCAGGGGAGGGTAATAATTTAGGAAGTGGTGTCAGATTTGAGGGAGGGCTTCATCTAGGCTAAAGCTCCCAGGTACATTTTAAGTAGGCCTTAGGTATGTCAGAGGTCAGGTCAGCGGTCTAGGGACTGAAGGTCTGTGCTAGAGCTATTAGTTGCCTTAGAAGGCTTGAGGGCTTTTAGGTGAGAGCTGCAAAGGAGTGACAGATCCTAGAAGGGGCTGTTCGTGGGGAGAGGCAGGGCAAGGTTAAGCGCTAGGGTCTCAGGTACATTTAAAGCAAGGCTTCAGGTGAGTGACCAGTCCTGGGCAGTAGAGACTACAGGTGTATATACTAGAGCCTCAGGTATATCTAAGATAGTAGAGGATACAGGCATGTGCTGAAGCCTCAGGTATGTTTAGGACAAAGCATCAGGTAAGGGACACATCCTGGGGCAGTTGAGGAGGTAGGTGTGTGTGGGCCTAAGGTGCATTCAAGGTGGGAACTCAGTACCAGATCTCAGGGCAGTGGGGGTGTGGCAGGTGGCAGGTTCCGGCCTTGCTTATGGGATAGTAACAGGTCTTTCCCTCTCTCTGCAGGAGACAAGCAGGCAAAGAAACAGGAGAAAAAGCCAGTGACAGTGCCCCCAGCATTTGTGGATGAGGCTCTGTGTGCATGTGAGGAGCACCTTAGTAACCTGGCCCACACGGACATTGACAAGGATCTGGAGGCCCCACTGTATCTCAGTCCTGAGGGCTGGTCCCTTTTCCTCCAGCGCTACTACCAAGTGGTCCAGTGAGTATCTCTGCAACTAGGGCTATGGGGCATGGGCTGCTGCTCCCTGCCTTCAGGGGACTTCCATGTTCTGACCTGATGATACTTAGACCCTTTCTCTGCCCAGTGCAGCCCTCAATTCCTCCCCAAGGCTCCCCTTTTGCTCACCCTACTATTCTCCTGCTCAAGAACCTTCAAGGGCTCCCTCCCTCCGCCTTCATGATTGGGTTCAAACCACTCTCTTGGTTCTTGGCATAATGTCATCATCAAGATCCTGGTTCCAGTCCTGGCTTTATGACTTCCAAGCTCTGTGACCTTGGGAACATCACTAATCTTTTTGAGCTTGACTTTTCTCAATACAAAGCAGATTTTAAAATAATAAGGTAGGATTAAAAAGGACAACTTGTGTTGTGTGCTCAGCATAGTCTTATAGTATTGACTCACAAAACAGGCATCTATAAGCCATTTTGATTTTTAGCCTGGAAGCCAGTGTTTCCTATAAGCCAGTTCTTATAAGCCGGATGGTCGTCCTACCGGTTATAAGTTGAGTGTATGAAAAAGAGCTCTTGTGGAAAGCATTGGGTTAAACAGAGTTAAACAGGCGTCCTGAATGCTGGACTTCTCAGAACCTTGAATATGTAATGGATGGAGTCCAAAAGAGAGAGAATGGGCAGCGTGTCCTGTCCTTCCGAGACACCAGCCCTGCCCCTGAGCATCCTGAGAACACTGCCTTCAGAGCACACTTTAGGAAAACGTTCTTGAGCAGGGTACCCGAAAACTCTCACTGCCTTCGAGCCAATTTTGATTCATAGCAACCCTTTATGACAGAGTAGAACTGCTGCTTAAGATTTCCAGGACTGTAAATCTTTACTGGAGCAGGCAGCCAGCCTTGTCTTTCTCCTGTGGAGCAGCTGCTGGGTTTCAACTGCTGATTTTGCAGTTTACAGTCCAACACTGTGCCACCAGGGATCCTTAATGGAGCAGGAAAACAGTATCAATATGAGACTGGTGCTATTTAGGGAGATTCACTTCAGTAGATGTGTGTAGGAGGGATTGGAGAGGGAAGGGTCCTGAAGGCAGGGAGACAGTTAGCAAGTCCTTAATGAGCACCTCCTATGTGCCAAGCATTGTGCCAGCCTCCAGAAACCGCACGGGGTCCCTGCCCTCAAAGGAACCACTTAACTTCTGAAAAGCAGGAATTAGATAAGATACTGTGCAGTGTTGATTTGTTCAGGACAGATCATTAAGAATGTGTTTTTGCGATTAGCTACTGTCAAGTTGGCCTCTGACTTGTGGTGACCCCATACACAATGCAACAAAATACTGCCCGGTCTTGGACCATCCATTCCATGACCAGCTGGCTATGGATCAGACCATCAGATCCATAGGGTTTTCATTGTCTGATTTTCAGAAGTAGATCTGACTTTTCTTCCTAGTCTGTCTTAAGTTGGAAGCTCTGCTGAAACCTAGTCATAGCAATTATTAGCATCACAGCACTATTCAAGCCTCCACCGTCAGATGGGAGTCCTGCTATGGCACTGGAGGATAAGCACTGCACTGCTACCCGCACGGTCAGCAGTTCAAATCCACCAGCCGCTTCTCAGAAACCCTACATAGGGTCTCTATGAGTTGGAATTGACTCGATGGCACTTAACAACTTGACTGTCAGACAGGTGGTGGTTGTGCCTGCGACGTATTTGATGGGAATCAAACCCAGATCTCCTACATGGAAGGTCAGAATTCAACCACTGAAACACCACTGCCTCAATTAAGAAAGTAACATTAATCGATTCATTCAATATTTACTGCTAAGTTTTTTTGTTTTTTTGTTTTAAACTTTATTTAATATCCATGCCTTACCAGCCAAGCTTTTATCAAGCTTGCCTTTCCACAAAAAACATCAGTCATTTTTTCTTTTTGCTAAATATAAAATCAGATTGTCGTATTGAGTATATGTGTCATTGTCAAATGACATATGCCCTTGCTGCCCACATTTGACACTTTCCTGGATTGAATTTACTGAGCAGCTACTTTATGCCACAGGCCATGGGAAAAGTTTCCATCAGGTCAGGACTTAACTGAGTATTCCCAGGGGCCCTCTCCCTGGTAGCCCCTGTTCCTGACACTGCTCCGGAAGCTGCTTCCTCATTACAGGAGTGATAAGAACTAGTCCACGGCTGGAACCCGTCTAAGAGGCTAAGGTGTTAAAGAGAGGTTAGCATCTCACAGAGGCATCCTTCCTATTCAGTCAAGAGAAAAGAAATGGGAACAGTCATCTGGGATACTTTTTGCCTTGGTTTAGTTCAGGACATTTTATGTCCGGAGGGAACAGGTCTTTCTTTGTACAGTCCAGTAACTGAGGCGGCCTCTTGTCAGCCATTCTTTCATTTAACAACCACTTAGAGAGCATCCAGTAAGTGCCAGGTCCAGTGCTTGGTGATGAGAATAACAACAGATATCACTGCTCTTGTAGCGCTTACATTCTCATGAGGGAAGAAGGACAATAAACAACTAAGCAGATGTGCCAAATGGTGAGGTGTGATGGGAAGAGAAGTAAAGCAAGGAGGTATGTTTAGGATTGAACAAGGAAGGGACCCACTTATCAACCAATGTTATGTCTAGATATGGAGGGGAGTGTACCTCAAATGCACCTGTGGATGGAGAGCCCACACAGAACTAAGTTTGAGTTCTGGCTCAACCACTGAACAGATGTATGGTCTTAGCTAAGTTCCTTAACTCTCCAAACTTCTTTAAAATAAATGAATTGTATTAGTCCTCTGAATGAAGGACCCTAAATGGCACAAGCAGTTTGTGCTTGGCTATTAACCAAAAAGTAGAATGTCTGAGTCTGTCCAGTGGTGCCTTGGAAGAAAGGCCTGGCAATCAATGTCAGCCACTGAAAGCTCTACAGAGTGTAATTCTACTCTGTGACACATGGGGTTGCTATGAGTCAAAAGAGTCTTGATGACAACTGCATATTCCAATGAGACCAGTGAGAGGATTAGTGATTGTATACTAGGGCCCTTGGCACAATGCCTGGCTCAAAGCGGTGACCAATCAACAGGAGTTGCTGTGGTTATATCTTGCCAAAGGCAGTTTTCATCAAGTGGGAAGAGTGGTGGTGGTGGGGCAGTAAATGGAATGCCCCATCCTGGGCTGGGACAGAGATTTAGGAGTAACCCACCAGGATCTCTGAGAGGAAGATATGACCAAAGGTGGTTGGACCATGGCTGGAGGGGGTTTGTGTCTCCTCTTGCCCTTGTCTGCCCCCTCTACCCCCAGACCTGGCCCTGCCCAAGTCCCCCCATCTCCCCACAGTGAGGGGGCAGAACTCAAGCACCTCGACACTCAGGTCCGGCGCTGTGAGGATATCCTAGAGCAGCTACGGGACGTGTTGCCCCAGATCGACATGGAGGGGGACCGCAACATCTGGATTGTGAAGCCGGGAGCCAAGTCCCGTGGAAGAGGTGAGGGTCAGCACCAGTTTCCTGTATCCACACCCCACAACCTTCTCCTCCCTCCGCCCCCCACCAAAGGCCACGAAAACTCTGGAGACAAATTGCCTAGGTTTGAATCTTGGCGCGGCTACTAACCTGCTGTGTGACCTTCTTTATCAGTTCGGTAAGCTCAGTTCCCTCCTGTGTGAAATGGTGTGAGTACGTCTGAATGAGATAAAAAAGTCCAGCTTATGCTCAGCATAGAGTGATACCCTCAGACATCTGCCCCAGAGCCTGGTGACGCAGGGCGTTGTCATTGAAGGGCTCACAGATTCAATCAATACATTCATGAGGTATACATAATGGTTAAGGACACGAATGCTGGAAGCCAAACTGCCTGGGTTCAAACCCAGGCTCTGCCACCTACGCTCTAGAAGATTCCAGGCAGTTTAGCTAACCTCTTTGCCTCATTTTTCATCTTTTGTCAAATGGAGTCAATAATACCCACCTGAGAGGAGGGTTGAATGAATTCATATAAGTGAGGTATTTAGATACTCTGCCTTTGCATGTTGTTGTTATATGCCATCAAGTTGGTTCCAACTCAAAGCGACCCTGTGTACAACAGAACAAAACACTAGCTGGTCCCATCCCATCCTCACAATTGTTGTTATGTTTGAGCCCATTGTTGCAGCCACTGTGTGATTCCATCTCACTGAGGGTCTTCCCTTTGTTCGTTGACCCTCTACTTTACCAAGCTTGATGTCTTTCTCCAGGAACTAACTGGTCCCTCCTGATAACGTGTCCAAAGCACATGAGACCAAGTTTCCCCATCCTTGCTTCTAAGGAGCATTCCAGCTGTACTAATTCCAAGACAGATGTGTTCATTCTTCTGGCAGTCCATCGTCTATTTAATATTCTTCACCAAAACAAGAATTCAAAGGCATCAGTTTGTCTTTAGTTGTCCTTATTCATTGCTCAGCTTTTACATACATATGAGGTAATTGAAAATACCATACCTTGCTTGGGTAAAGTGCATCTTAGTCCTCTAATTGACACTTTGTTGTTTATACCTTAAAGAGGTCTTTGCAGCAGATTTGCTCAGTACTGTATGTTGTTTGATTTCTTGACTTGCTCTCATGAGTGGATCTAAGTAAAATATAATCCTTGACAAATTCAATCTTTTCTCTGTTTATCATGTTGTTATGTGCCGTGGAGTCGGTTCCGACTCATAGTGACCCTGAACAGGGTTTCTGAGGCTGTAAATCTTTACGGGAGCAGAAAGCCACATCTTTCTCCTGTGGAACAGCTGGTAGTTTCGAACTGCTGACCTTGTGGTTCGCAGCCCGATTCATAACCACTACGCTACCAGAGCTCTGTTTATCATGCTGCTGTTTATTGTCTAGTTGTGAGGGTTTTTGCTTTCTTAACATTGATGTGTAATCCATACTGAAAGCTGGAGTCTTTTGATTTTTATCAGTAAGTGCTTCAAGGCTCTTCCTCTTTCAGCAAGCAAAGTTGTGTTCTTGGCATATTGCAGGTTGTTGATGAGTCTTCCTTCAATTCTGATGATGCATTCTTCTTCATATAGTCCAGCTTCTCAGATTATTTGTTTAATATATAGATTGAATGAGTATGGTTAAGGATATGAGTCTGATGTACATCTTTATGTAGAAAACAAAACCAAGCAGACCCACTACCATCAAGTTGTCTGTGAATCATAGTGACCTTATATAGAATTGCCAGGACTGTAAATCTTTATGGGAATAGACAGCCTTATCTTTCTCTTGTGAAACAATTGGTGGGTTTGAACTGCTGACCTTGCGGTTAGCAGTCCAGTGCTTATCCTACAGCACCATGAGAGCTCCTTACATTGGGCTTACAGATCCCTCTAAATCCTATCTCTAAAAGTTTGTTTATGTCCTAGTGGTGCTGTTCCAACTCCAGACTCTGGAGAAACTCCTGTTGTAACCATTACCTCAAAACCAGCAGTAGGTAGTTTCTTTTCCCACCTAAGAAAGAACTGTGTTGTTGTTTTTCCCAGTTATGAAAAACGATGTGTTCATTGTAAAAGAAATTCAGAAGAAGAAAGTAATAGCCCCTAGAATTACCCCAACTTAGGTGGTGCTGTGGGTTAATGCGTCAGACTGCAGAATCATTTGAACTGCAAAGTCAATGGTTCAAGCTCACCGCTGCTCCTTGGAAACCCTATGCAGGGTTGCTATGGGTCGGAATCGACTCAACGGCACTTAACAACAATACTACCATAGGTGGTTGTTGGGTGTCGTCAAGTCAACTCTGACTCATGGTGACCACTGTGTACAAGTGCCTGGGCCTATGCCACCCTCACCATCATGACTAAGCTTGACTGGGCCCCTCGTTGCAGCCATTGTGTCAGTCCATCTTGTTGAGGGTCTTCCTCTTTTTTGCTGACCCTCCACTTTACCAAGCTTGGCGTTCTTCTCTGGGAACCGGTCCTTCCTGATAACATGTCAAAATAGGTCAGCCAAAGTCTCGCCATCCTCGCTTCTAAGAACCGTTCATTCCAGCTGTGCTTCTTCCAAGACAGATTTGTTCATCCTTCTGGCAGTCCATGGATTGGTGTTGTCCATCTTATTTTATAAAACATTTATTGTGTTGAAATATATACAATATAAAATTTACCACTTTAAGAAATTTAAGTGTATAGTTAGTTTTAGTGGCATTAGTTACAGGCACAGTATTGTATAATTACCATCACTATTTCCAAAACTTCTTTACCATCCCCAGCAGAAACTCTGCACCCATTAAATTATTACCTAGTTTACAACTTTCCATAAAAGTACAGTATGTACTCTCCTTATCTCATTTAAAATAATATTTTATTGTGGTGAAATATATTTAATTCAAGTTTGCCGTTTTAGATACTTTGTGTATATGTCACTGATATGAAACCATCTACATGATCTGTTTCAAAAATTTTGCATCCCTCAAACAATAATTCTGTACCACTTTACAGTCATCTCATTCACCCCTCCCAACCCTGGCAGCCCTTGGTAGTGACTCATAAACTTTGAACTCTGTACATTTGTCTGTTTCATATAAGGGGATCAGATCATTTGTGTCCTTTTGTGTCTGGTTTATTTCACCCAGGATGATGTTTCTCAAAGTTTATCCATGTGGCAGTATGTATCAGAATCCATTTCCTTTTATGACTGAATCATGAATGCACATTCATTACTTCATTATTTTTGTAGCTGCATAATCTAATCTTGTTGCAAGGACTGCCATGCATTTATCTAATCCTTTTGTGATAGTTTTTCCTCTAGTTTTTTTGTTATTGATTTCTTGCTATTATAAGTAACTCAGAGGACTATCTCTGTGGCCTGTTCCATCCATTTCCTTAGGATGCATTACTAGAAATGTCGACTCACTATCATTTTTTGTTACACTATGTTCTTGGGAATCTTGATCATCTGTCTGGTCATATGAGAAAAGATCTGGCAAAAATTATTCTGCTACTTCTGGCAGGCAATCTGGCTGCTTCATGGGTTCAAACAATGAAGGAATGAGATTGAATTGTGAGTGTGTGTGTTTACTTTGTAGTTTGCTATTTACCAGCACCTGATGCTTTATAATTATAAAAAGAGATGAAGTTAAAATGCGATATTCTTTTCTACCTAGGGGAAGGCAAAACAAAACAAAACAAATTCTAATAATTAATAGTGTTGAGTAGAATGTGGGGAAACAACACAACCCCATACATTTTTGCTAGGACTGAAAATGGATAGAATACTTTTACAGGTCAGTTCAGCAATATAAAACTGAAAAAGGAACATACCTTTGGAGGCAGGAATTCTACAGCTAGAATCTGAGTAAACATTGACTGAATGTTTACCATGTACCCAGCCTGTTCTAAATCCCAAAAATACCATAGTCTTATGAAACAGGCATGCACAGATGCTCACGTGGCCTGGGAGGGTATCCACCAAGGACCCAGAAGCAGCAGTTGGCTGCCTCTGGGAAGGAGACTTATTTTTTACTGTATATTATTTTATACTGTCTGATTTTTGTTGTTATTGATATCCTATTAACTATGGTGGAGTCAATTAATCAAAATCATATAAGTACATGATTTTTTTAAAAGCCCTAGAATAAATACTGTTTGAATTTTTATCTGTGCATATATTCCATTACAACTAACTAGTTAATTAAAAAAACAAAAAACATCTTGGCAGATGTTCCACTTCCCCAGCTTCCTTCCTTGGCCCTATGATGGCTGGGGGATGTGGTCTGTGTTGAGTGGGCCATAGTCCTCCGCCCTTCTTTCTGCCTGACCTACTACCCCATTCCTCTGTAGGCATCATGTGCATGGACCACTTGGAGGAGATGCTGAAACTGGTGAATTGCAACCCCATGATGATGAAAGACGGCAAGTGGGTGGTACAGAAGTACATTGAGCGGCCTTTGCTCATCTTTGGCACCAAGTTTGACCTGAGACAGTGGTTCCTGGTGACCGATTGGAACCCACTTACTGTTTGGTTCTACCGTGACAGCTACATCCGCTTTTCCACACAGCCCTTCTCCCTGAAGAACCTGGACAAGTGAGTGCCACCGCTCGTCTCCCAAGGGTTCCCAGTTGAAGTGGGGATATGGCAGGCAAACAAGCAGCTACTTTCCAATTCTGCAGGCAGGCTAGCCAGCCACCCATCCATCTAAACATCTTTAAAGACACCTGACAAGTTACTGTGTATCATGTGCCATTCACTGTTCTGAGTACTTGGGATACAACAGTGATTTAGTAATCTGCTTCAGTTTGGCCAAGCTACTCCATAACAGCAACTAGGCTCATGTTTAGTTCAACAACTAGACCTGTGATAAAGTCACTTGACCTTAAGCAAAGCAGATTATCTTCCATAATGCAATGTAATGTAATCAATCCAGTGAAAGAATAGTTTTCTTGGGTAGGTTATGTTCTGCCTTCAGATTATAAATTAGTAATTTTGAAAGAGCTCTTTCTCTCTCTTTCTCTCTGTCTGTCTCTCTCTCTTACACATACACACACTGGAAAGACAGATGCCATGTGCAAAACTATGAGGCACCCACTGTTCCTCCCACAACCCTCTACTTCTCATCTGGGTTCAATAATCCATTGCAATGGCCACCCAGAACTCAGACTCCATACTTGCTTATGTTATGGGCTTTATTAGGGAGGTGAACAGGTTACAATTCAGGCTCAGAAATGCTCAGGGCACAGTTGTTTCAGTCAGCTGCTGATATATGCCCAGAGGTGCTTGGCTGTAGCTCCATGGGTTGACAAACACAGCTCCCCAGTTAAGTTTCCTGGAGGTTCCCCACTCTACAAGCCAGCTTCCTGCCCTAAGTCACGCAGCTTTACTGACTCCATGGACTGGCAAGCCCACTGCTCTGTCTCATGCTTTGGTTCTCAATTGTACTGCTGCTTCTCCTCTGCCTGTGCTCCTCTGCCACAGCTTTCTGCCTCTGGGTTGAGGAGATTGTGTGAACAGGGATCTCAGGGTCCAATGGATGTGTCCACTCCCGGATCTTCTTTGATGGTAGTGAGATCCGCCCCCTCCTGCCTCTGAGATGGCTCATTTTAAACTCCTGCTAGAATTTCAAGTTCTCACAATGATAATGAGCTCTGCTGATAGCCACAGCTGAATCCTGTCATCCCACCAGTATCTTCTCCCACTGTCTGTTACCCAGACTCAGCAGGGCACAAACATTGTTTTGTGGGAGTTACTACACCACACCATGCTAGGGTGTGGTACAGGCCAAGAATCACTACAGGCACCAGACCCTAGGCAACAGGTTCCCAGAAGCAGTGGATATGGTCAAGACCTTGGTTTGGACTTTTAACCTCCAGAACAGGGCGAAAATTCCCCTTCTTTAAAGCCACCACTGTTATGGCAGGGCTAGAGAAGTAAGACGGGGAAAAAAACACTAGCCCTGAACTCACATGCTAGCAGGGAGAAACAGAATCAACAATGCACAGGACAAGTCAAACTAATGCATGGAAAGGTAATACCTACTATGAAGAGAAACTATGTAGAGCAGGGTAAATGGGGGGCACAAGAAGTAAGGGCCAGAGGAGAGAGAGAAGTTGCAGAGCTAAATCGAGGTCCGAAATGCCTTAGTTGAAGACTGGGTGCAAATTCTATCTCCATGCCGCTCATGCTATATGACTTTGGTCAAGTGAAAGCCTATTTAAGCCTCAGTTGCCACATCTGAAGAATGGGTGTGATGTCAGTCACTGAGTGCTTCATTATGCTTCATTTTATGGTGTGCCAAGCACACCATAAAAACGACTTCAGTCATTCTCCACACAAACCCAGTAAAGTGGAAACTATCACCACCTGCAATTTACAGGTGTAAAATGAGAACTCAAGTTAAATGACATGCGCTGTATGATAAACACTGAACTGCTAACCCCAAGGTCGGTAGTTCAAACCCATCAGCTCCTCCTTGGAAACCCTTTATGGATCGCTGAGTCAGAACTGACTCAAAAGCACTTAAGATCAAATAAGTGGTGAAGGCAGACCTTGAGCATGTTCATTACATTGATTTCCACTGACAGTGGTGACAGAGTAGAACTGCTGACCTTTGGGTTAGTAGGCAAGTGCTTTAACCACTGCACAACCAGGGCTTCTTACTTGGTGACTTCAAGGCCCTTGGAGTTCTGGTATGGCGCTGTAGGAAAAGTACTGGACCGCAAGGTCGATTTAAACCACAAGATTGGCAGTTCAAACTCTCTAGCTGCTCCCTGGAAACCCTACACAGAGTCATCATGAGTCAAAACCGCCTCGGCAGAACTTCAACAACAACAGCCTACATTGGAGTACTGGTGTGCAATGCTGTAGAATAACCACTAAACCATAAGGTCGGCGGTTCAAACTCAACAGCTGCTCCTCAAAACCCCTATACAGGGTTGGTACATGAGTCGGATCCGAATCGATAGCACTTAACAACAAGGCCTAGCATAGTCTTAACCCCTGTCTGAGTTACTTAGTGCTGTTATAACAAAAATGCCACAAGTGAATGATTTCAATACGGAATCATTTATTGTCACTCAGTTTTAGAGGCTAGATGTCCAAATTCAGATGTCAGTTCTAGAGGAGGGTCCCTCCTGGTTGTTAGCCCCAGGAGCACTTTGGCATTCCTTAGTGTTTCTTGGCATCTGTCTTCTCCCTGTATGTATCTCTGTCCTGCTTTTTATAACTCATATATGATTAGATTTAGGATGCATCCTACTCTGCTATGACCTCATTATCATGAAAAAAATGGCAAAACCCCTGCTTCCAAACAGGATCACATCCATCAGTCCAGGGGTCAGGCCTTCAGGACATATTTTAGGAGAACACAGGTCCATCCATGACACCCACTTTATCTTCCAAGCACTGTGAAGGTTAGTGAGATTATGCACAAAACACTTAGCATTGCAACCCCTGTTGTGAGCTGGTTCTGTCCCTAGAAAGACCCAAGCTTGCCCCCCCCCCGAAGCAGGATTCCGTCTCAAGCTGAATGGTTAATGGTGGCCCCCTGGCTGGCCCCAGGGTTTGCCGACCTTCTTTGAATTTGGGTGGGAGAGGTTCCAGGAAGCCAAGACCTCAGCTTTCTGCTCTTTGCTCCAGCTCCGTGCACCTGTGCAACAACTCCATCCAGAAACACCTGGAGAATTCATGCCACCGGCATCCACAGCTGCCCCCAGACAACATGTGGTCAAGCCAGAAATTCCAGGCCCACCTGCAGGAGATGGGGTCCCCAGAGGCCTGGTCTACCGTTATTGTGCCTGGCATGAAGGCTGCTGTGATCCATACATTGCAGACCTCCCAGGACACTGTGCAGTGCCGGAAGGCCAGCTTCGAGCTCTATGGTGCAGACTTTGTGTTTGGGGAAGACTTCCAGCCCTGGCTGATCGAGATCAATGCCAGTCCCACTATGGCACCCTCCACGGCGGTCACAGCTCGGCTCTGTGCTGGTGTGCAAGCCGACACCCTGCGAGTGGTCATCGACCGGCGGCAGGACCGCAGCTGTGACACAGGAGCCTTTGAGCTCATCTATAAGCAGGTGAGGTGGCCTTGTCCAGAGAGGACTCGGAGCTAACACTTCCCCAGGGATCGGCCCTCTCTTCCAGACAAGGCCATAGTGAAGCGCTAAGGCTCTGTAGTCACACAGTCCTGCCACAGTGACTCAGTCCAGTCACTTTGCCTCCCTTAGCCTGTTTCCTTATCTGTAAAAGAAATGGAGATAATATTATTATCTCTCATGGGACTTGGGAGGAAGAAATCAGTATTTTGTGTGGATAATAGATAATATTTTTTAACTTTTTATTGTGAATTGGATGAAGGTTAACAGACTAGATCATCAGCTTTACATTCAACAACTTATACACGGTGTTTCATCTCAATGATTACAGTCCCCTCCCTGCAACAAGTTATCCTGCTTCCTTCCTATGCCTTCCCTTTTACATCTTATAGTTCACAAATCAACAAAGCAAAAATATTTGATGTACATATACAAAACAAAAAATACATATTCATCCAAAAGGCACATTTTGCAAGCCAGCTTCCTGCCCACAGACACACAGCCTTACTCAGTCCAGAACCCGCAGCTTCTCTGTCTCTCCTTGCCATCACCTCTGCCACCATCTCTGATGTCACTGCTTTACTAGGCACACTCTACTCATGCTCTTTGTTGTTGATGGTCCTGGGATTGTCTGTTCCTAAATGAAAGATTAACTACTCTTCCCTTTTAGTTACACATCTTCTACAATTACAGTTGTGACAATCACAATTAATCCTGCTAACAGTGATCCATAATTGAGTCATAAAATCCTACCCCCATCATTCCCCATCCTCTTTCACCAGATCCATCTGGAGAAGAGGAAAGCCATTCAGTGGGGATTCTACCTTACCCTCCTCATTCTGAAACTAAGCACACTTATGAGAGCTTAGTTTTGTGCCGTTATAGTTTCCCATTTTTGATAGCCAATGTCTAAATTGTCCATCCCTATCAACCCAGTGCACTGAGAAAACAAGCCTGTTTCTTGATAGGAAGAAGTGAATAGTATTTTTAGAGAAGCAATATCATCAGTTGCTGTTGGATCCATTCTGACTCAGTGATCCCATGTATGTCAGAGGAGAACATGTGGATTTTCAGTGGCTGATTTTTCAGAAGTAGACTGCTAGGCCTTCCTTCTGAGGAACTTCTGGGTGAACTTGAATTTTAAACTTTTCAATTAGCAGTTAAGAACATTAACCATTTATACCACTCAGGGACTCCAGAGATACAGGATAGAGCAGTGTTAAGAGCATATATTTTGGAGCCTCCCTAGGTGAAAATCCCTGTTCAGTAACTAACTATAAGCTGTGTGACTTTGGACACTAGCCTCTGGGGGTCTGATTTTTCTCATCTGTAAAGTGGAAATAAAAGTAGTACCTACTTCATAAGGTTGTTGTGAGAAATAAGTAAAGCACTTTAGAACAGTGCCTGGCATATAGTAAATGCTACACAAAGCTTGGTGGTGGGGCTGGTGCTGGTGCTGGTGGTTATGTGCCGTGGAGTCAGTTCTGACTCATTAGTGACCCTGCATAGGGTTTCCGAGGCTATAAATCTGTATGGGAGTAGACAGCCTCAGCTTTCTCCCTGCTGGTAGTTTCAAAGTGCTGACTTTGAGGTTCACAGCCTGACTTGTAACCACTACGCTACCAGAACTCCTAACACAAAGCTTAGTTATTGTTGGTGGTTATGTGCTGTGGAGTCGGTTCCGACTCATAGTGACCCTGTACAGGGTTTCCGAGGCTGTAAATCTTTACGGGTGGCAGAAAGCCTCATCTTCTTCCTGCGGACCGGCTGGTAGTTTTGAACTGCTGACCTTGTGCTTCACCCCCCAATTTGTAACCACTATACTACCAGAGCTCCTTTAGTTATTGTTATTACTTAATAAAGTTGTTAGGAGTTTCATGGTAAATGGCACCACCTATAAATTCCCTAGGCAATTGGTTCATAGAAAGAATCAATTAGTGGTAGCTGCTATTATTATTATTTACTCATCTTAGAATTATTTTAATGAGTCAATTTATAAAATAGAATTAAATTAAAAAAAAATCAATCACCCAATCAAAATTGCAATGACCTTTTTTACAGAAATAGAAAAACCAACCTTTAGCATTGTATGGAATGGCAAGAGGGCCTGAGAACTAAAAAGTTGAAAGTGAAGAACAAAGTAGGAGCAATCACACATCTGGATTTGAAAATATTTCCCAGCTAGCCACAGCCATCAGAACAGCCTGGTAATGATGTAGCAATAGATAGCCCAATGGGACAGAATTTAGAGTTTTTGACAAGAGCGCTAAGTCCATTTGATAAGGAAAAAAAGAATTGATTCATTAATGGTGCTGGAAAACTTTTTTCCCATGGTTTCCACATGCAGAAAAATGAAACAGGATCCATGCCTTGCCTCACACTATCCACAAAAACAAATTCAAAATGGATTAATGTGCAAATGATGGTTGGTGTTTATGTGCTGTAGATTCAGTTCTGCCTCATAGCAACCCTGTATAGCCTTTCTAAGGCTGTAAGTCTTTATGGGAGTAGAAAGTCTCATCTTTTGCCCATGGAATGGCCAGTAGATTTGAACTGCTGACCTTGCAGTTAGCAGTCTAGCTCTTAATCTACTACACATGGACAATGTTGCCAGTCTCGCTTTCAACAACGGATAATATATGATAACAAAAGCACAAACTGCAAAAGACAAAATAAATAAATGGACCTCATGAAATGAAAAACTTTTGTTCATCAAAAAGGAGCCTTGGTGGTATAGTGGGTGGACTAAGCATTGGACTACTAACCACAAGGTCAGAGACTGGGAGACTATCTTCAAAAATTGTGTATCCTATATAAAATCTAATGATCAAAAAAAAAAATACATCTAATTTTGACAATTTAACAACAAAAAGACAAATAACCCAGTCATAAAATGGGTAAAGGACTTGAATAGACATTTCACCAAAGAGGACATTGAAATTACCACTTAACATGTGAAAAGATGCTCTCAGGCATCATTAAACGTGAGAGAGATGCAAATCAAAACCATAATGAGATGCCATTTTCACTCTCACTAGGGTGGCTAAGATGGAAAAAACAAACAGAGAAAATGGGAAAATTAGAACTTTTATCTGTTGCTGATGGGATTGCAAAATGGAATGCTGCTGTGTGGCAGTTCCTCAAAAAAACTAAAAATAGGACTACCGTTGTTGTTGTTAGGTGCCATCGAGTTGGTACCTAACTGGATGGCACCTGTGCTATGAGTTGGTACTGACTCATAGCACAGCAGAAGGAAACACTACCCCATCCTGGGCCAACCTCACTACTGTTGCCATGCTGCTTAG